GTAGCCTGTTCCTATCGCTACTTTCGTGAGAGGGGACCTACCTTCAAGATAATTTGAGTTTATGGCACTACAAAATCCTACTCTTAAACCCGTCAACACTGAGTGGACACAAGAAAGGATTAAAAAAACCCTTTATCCTCTCTTGGAAGTCATTGAAGCCTCCCACACACTCCTTAATGGGGGAATCGTACTACTGTCTTTTTTATAAATCGACTTCTTCACTAAAGAAACTGCGTGGGATTCTATTCAAAAAGCTTTATGATTGCAACAATTGGTCTTTCCTGTTCTGCCCTTTTTTCATTGCCCAGCGCAAATGGGGCAAGCCAAACTGAGTCAGTTTGTCAACAGAATAAAAATGAATCGCCTGCAGCATACACAACGTTGATAATAAAAGGAACTCCCCAAAACAGGGTTTGAACCCTTTTTAAAAACAACTTCCAGATTTCGCGTAGATTTTTTTTCCGGGTGCTTTATTACCCTTTACAGAAACCATTCGGAATGGACATATATTTTGTTGAAATCATATTCTATTGAAAATCTCGCGCATAAACATCAAGCAAAAAAATTTGACCTTCAGGGAGAAGGACACGAAACAACAACCTGTGGCCAAATCATCGAAAATCAATTAACCGGAGAGAATGAAAAGAGGGGAACATTATGGAAAAAAAAAACCAGCTCATACGGTCGAATCTCTTCCTTAAATTAAAAATTGGCACTCTTGTGCACAAAATTCAATATCAAAAAAAGGATACACCTCCTGCCCTCTATGACTTAGTTCAACCGGCTTCAGCTGTCCATAATTATAATACTAGGTATGCCACTAATCAAAACCTGTGCAGACCGTTTTGCAGAACTAATTATGGCCTAGCAAGGTTTAGTGTAGTGGCATCACAGACCTGGGAAGCAAAACCTATGAAAATTAAGTGTCTCCCCTTGAACAGTTTTAAAAAAGAATATAAACTCTTTCTATACTTGACAGTCAAGCATCTTGAACAACTCTGATCTGTTACTTAGCTCTATTTATTTAGTTATTTAATTTAAATAGTTTTTTTTATAAGTACTATATAACCTCCACCCACTTGTAACCGCTCTGAGGAAGTAGCCAACTCGAAAGCTTGGCTCCTTTGCCTGCTACACACTTTTTTCCTTTGTTACGTTTAATTCAATGTATAGTTAGCTCTGTCTTTACTTCTTTTTTTTTCGTATTGTTGTTGTATTGCAATTGAATAAGTGTGAATAAATGAACTTGAACTTCCAACGGCTACCTCGCCACAAAGGCCATCAGTTTTTTTTGTTTTGGCGCGCTCAGTCACGGGGAGACTGGGGAGAGACATCACCAAATAAGGAAGCGCGCGGGGGAAGATGGGATAGGAAAGAGAATGGAATAAGCCGTTTCTCTCTTTCCATAGTCCAAATCGACCGCGCCATTTTATTGGAATACGAAAGAGGAGCTTCTGCATAGGGGAGATCGAGAGGTCTCTGCCGACCGGCCCCAGGCTACTTGCCCAGTTCTGTTCTTTTTTTGTTTCCTTTTGCCTCATTTCGATCTAGGAAGAAAGCAAGATTCAAATCAGTTTCACGTTTTCTTGTTCTTCCACTTTTTGAACATAGTTACTTCTTACATGAAAGTTTGACAGTTCCGTTTTTGATCTAAATGAAGTTTAATAAGTTACCTTGACAGTGGGGCAAGTATTGCTTCATCTACGAAGTTTTTACCTGTCAAGAGGTATTTCAGTTTTCAACTAGCAAAGAAACCTTTTAACATGACGTTAATTTGTTTTATTTTTCTTCTCTTGATACATAGATTTTTAAAAACAGTTGTTGGAACGCCTCATATTTGTGCTAGGATGACAGAGAACCCAAAACAGTTCCGTCGTTTCATAGACAGGAAAATAACAATTTTCACCTTAGGCCTCCAGAACGGTGACATAGACTCTCCACAGCTGATTAGCAAAGAAAACCTTCCACCGTTTGAAATGGTTGTCCCACCGCGTTTCTTGTTCTCCAAAATGGCGTTTTTGTACCACTTGACTGACCAGCTGTCAAGAGTCTATTTTAGCGACTAACTGCGCTGCAAGGGCCCATTCCGTTGCAGAGTCATCGACGAGTAATAATGGAGTGGTCATACTCACATATCAAATTTAAAAGGTTGAGTTTGATCGTCCGGGTGAATGTAGTCCTGAATAGGACTGTTGTTTTTGACAGTGACTGACGTTTCGACAACCTGTGCAGTAGTCATCTTCAGAGTCAAAGTGAGTTGTATCACGTCAGTTGATGGTATTATACTCTGGTTATTGATGTGATTCGTCAATTATGTCGCGATGTTATTGGTCGTCTGTCAGTTAAGCCGTGATTTAAGCGGTTTATCTTTGTCCTTGACATTAGTAAGCAGCTTACTAATGTCAAGGACAAAGATAAACCGAAGGACAGACAGGGAGCAGTATACAAGATCAAATGCTGCGACTGCCAGGCTTCTTACATTGGTGAAAGCGGCAGAAACCTAAACACGCGACTGACCGAACACAAACGCGCGACGAGGAATGGTGACGTCAACAATCACATTGCTGAGCACCATTTAAACACGAAACATCAAATTGACTGGGACTCTGCGACATGTATAACGTATTCTACAGACTACTATCAACGTTTTACTTTAGAAAGCTGGTTTACTAACTTAGAACAAACGCCACTGAATCGTAGCCAACAATTACCAGCGCCGTACAAACGACTTATTGACGAGATCAAGCAAAACTAACTACGAGAGAACAACTGGAGAACTGACAATTTGACTAACAATAGACGACTGTTTAACTGTGACAATACACGGATCGAAACGCACCAATCACTGATTACGAGTCTTCATAGCCAATAACACCACGGCTTAACTGACAGACGACCAATAACATCGCGACATAATTGACCAATCACATCAATAACCAGAGTATAATACCATCAACCATAGGCGTACGGGCCGGGGGGGCGAGGGGGGCTGCAGCCCCCCCCAAATTTTGGGCAACTCAGATTTTTTGGGCAGCGAGAGAAAATTTGGGCAGAGCCAGTTTTTTACGACGTTTCCGTGTTTTTTAAATCATTATTTTGACGATATAAATATTTTCTATTGTAACCTGAAGTTGGCATAATAATCCAGTACTGTTACATTCACACGAGATAGTTGTTGCCTAGCACGTAATGAGTTTTTGGTTATAAGGGAAGGGCATCATGTGCTGATTTTCTTTTATTGTTGGGCACTGTAATGCAATGGGCTATTTCCAGTCGTGAATTGATTAGAATAAACTTCCTCCTAACTTTCTAGAATCATCTCCGCTCGTAGAACAGTGTATGGCAGATAGCGTCAGCAATGGGTATGAAAGTGAAGAAGTGGCTGACTAATTCTCAGTTTGAATTACGGTCATTACGCGAAGAATCGTAATTTTTTTGAAAAAATCTATCGAGTGGTTTAAAAATTATTCAGTACTGGTAATTTGTTAAAGTAGACCGAAATGTTTATAAAAGCTAACAAGAGCTCCATGATACATACTATATACTCAAATCCTTTTTTGGCCAGAGCTATCTCCATGATCTTTTACCCACGTTTTTAGAAAGATTGAAACTACTATGAGGTGAAATTGCATGTCAAAAGCGCTTCGTTTTCTACAGATAACGGCCAAACATCAAGATTTTCCTTTTTTACCGTATTTCTAACGATAAAAACTTTATCCCAAAACATCTCCGCAACGCTCTCACAATCCGTTTTTTAACTTCACGAACATCGAGGCGACTATTACAGGAAAATGCTCCCGTGAACGATTTTGGAAGAACAGTTCCCAGTGAGAAATGTTGCTGCAAGTATAATAGGTAATGGCGTCATTTGGTTGCTATGACAACTCCGATGTTATTGCAACCCGGGATCATAACAAATTTTCATCTTTATACAACCGTGGTGGCAATTTTTCCAAATGTTTGTTTATGGTGTCGTAGTCTATGCTCAAAAAAACCTTCACAGGTATTGACCCTGAAAAACTGTATCGAGCCACTTTCATATGCTAGTACGGCCTATGTTGTTGCATCGTATGGCCCTCGTTTCTGTTCGACTGTTTTGTAAAAATTTGGGCGACTTGCAAGAATTTTTTGGGCAAATGGTCTACCGCCCCCCCTGGCAAAAAATTGCCCGTACGCCTACCCCATCAACTGACGTGATACAACTCACTTTGACTCTGAAGATGACTACCGCACAAGTTGTCGAAACGTCAGTCACTGTCAACAACAACAGTCCTATTCAGGACTACGTTCACCCGGACGATCAAACTCAACCTTTTGAAGTGACTCCTGGGTTCAAACCTTTCACATATCAATTTACATAGCAATCTCAGTGGGATCAGTCGTCAGAAAAGAAGGTGCCGGCTCTGACCTGCTATGTTGACTAGTTTAAATCATCTATCTTGCAAGGCATATTGACATCATCGGCGAAATGACGGTCGAACCTCTCCTTACAGAAACCTCTCTATTCTTGACAGTTCTACTGGTCCTTAAGATACCAAACTTCATCCAACTCCTGCCTCTATAATACCGGCACCTCTATTACAGACAGTTCTATTGGTCCCAAAGACACTAAACTTAATCCAATTCTTGCCTATATAATACCGACACCTCTGTTACAGACAGTTCTATTGGTCCCAAAGACACCAGACTTCATCCAGTTCCTGCCTCCCTAATACAGACATCTCTGTAGTAGGGTCCCAAAGCAGGCAAGCTCCACCCAAATTCTGCGTCTATAATACAGACTCCTCTCTGTTACAAAAAGTTCTTTTGGTACCAGAGATACCGAGCTCCATCAAATTCTGGCTATGTAATATAAACACCTCAGTAATGTGGACAATGGGACATCTAGTTCCCTGTCCCTCCGTTTCTCTGTCCCTTTACGGTCAGTATTTAAGAGGTTTCACATTCTCCTCAGACGTCATTTGAGTAACTATTTGAAATTTCATTTAGAGACACGGAAGAGATGAAAGTGGGGAGCAGTTTTTTCAAGTGACTGTATGATCTTTTTCTTTTCGTTTTTTTCGTGCAGTTTCATCTATGTGTTTCTCCTGCATTTCCTTGCATCAGTAATTGTGTTGAATTAATCAATGTTTTCAGTTTACTAAGCCGGTTTACTCAGTTCTGTCCTTGTTTTCACGTTGATAGGCGATGTTAAGCATTTCTTTGACGTTTATTATTTTTTCCCGTGGCTTTCCAAGTTCTCTCCCTCGTTCTTGTTCAACTTGATCAATTTTGTGCCACTGATCAAAAAACACAGGCCGGACACCTATAAACATCAGAGAGAGGAAGGAGATTTAATAGATAGGAAGGAACGATAACAGTTATTGAAACGGAGTGGAACTGGAACGGAATTAAATAGACAGTGAATATAATGGAATGAAATTAACTAAACAATGAACGAATGGGAATGGCCTTAATAGACAGTGAACAGTGAAGTGGAATGGAATGAAATTTAACTGAAAATAGACAGTAAATAGAATGGAAAAGATTGGAATGAAATAGACAGTGAATGGAATCCAGAGGAATGGAATTTCCGTAAATAGGCAGCGAATGGAATGAAATGGAATATACCGTGAATGAAAGTGAATAGGACCGAAAGGAGTATGGGACGGAATGCAACGATAGAGCGATTTTCGTATGACCTTGAAATGAAAACGCGCGAACAAAACACAAACAACAAACGAACGGGAATAGAGCGATTTCATTGGTTGATCGAACGGATACAACGAGCGTGACTTTTGTTTGGTTAAGCGAACGCTTGGGTGAAAAAACTTCATGCCCCAGAACTTTCTAGAAATCAATAGCCCATTTCCGAGTTCCTGTATGATTGGAGACTGGTGCCGAAATAACGCACGGGAGCGAGGCTTCGTGCGAAGTCCCTCTTGGCGGCGCGAAAAATAAAAAGCGATTGAGGGGTTTTCACTGCTCTGAATGTTTTAATATTTATGAGATGGTCTACTGCTCAGTCGCCTGCTGCAATAATGGGAATCACAATCGAAATGATCTGTCATATTTTATTTTTCCTTCGGACAAGAGGCTTGGAAGTTGGATAAAATTCTGCCGCCGAGCGGACAAAAAGTTTTCAGTGGAGTCAGCGAAGGCAAAGGCAGGAAAGAGCAACAATTTGCGGATTTGCAGCGCTCATTTTGACCCCAAAGCCTATAGAAAAACTTTGAACGGTAGGAGAAAAACATACAACACTGCTCTGCCAACTATATTTCGACCAAACGATGAATGCACACCGAGAAGTGTTCGTTACGAAACAGCACGGAAGAGAAGACGGCTGGAGTTTAGCGACTGCAAAACAAACACTCTCTTGCCAAGCCAGGTTTCGCTTGCTGATGCAGATGGAGAAATTACTACAGATCTGGTGGATGTTCGATCGTCTAATGCTGATTTCTGCGATGTTCAGCATGACCATTCGTACTGCCTTTCAGCAGAAGATGATCGATCTTCGACAGTGTTGTTACAAGATACCGAACCTGAGATGGTAAGGTCAGTGGGTTGTCAAACTGACATGACTTTGTTCGATTTAGAACAACTGGAAAATGAAGTTAAAAACCTCAAAAATAGACTTAACGATAAAGCTAAACTAAAACGTGACTTGTTCATGGAGGATGTCCTTGAAAATGATGATTCAGTGAAGTTTTACACTGGAATTCCCACACTGGGATGTTTCAATTTGATTTCAGAATTGATAAAGCCAGAAGCTGAAAAGCTCAAATACTGGGACAAAAACAAGAATAAACAAATGAAATACCAGACAACATCCAACAGCAAACCTGGACCTAAAAGAAGTCTAACACTGACTGAAGAATTGGTTTTAACTCTTGTGAGGCTTAGACTTGGATTGATGGGAAGACAACTGGCTGACACATTTTCTGTTTCACAGTCACAGTTAAGCAGGGTATTCACAACATGGGTTTGCTTTCTTGCATCCATATTTCAAGAGGTACTAGTACTCTGGCCAAGTAAAGACGAAATTAAACGAAACCTCCTCGCTCATTCAACAAGTACCCCAATACACGAATAATAATTGATTGCACAGAAATGTTTATAGAAAAACCCACTTCTCCTTATGCACAAAGAGCAACTTGGAGTGAATATAAGGGGCACAATACCATAAAGGCTCTTGTTGGAATTACCCCTCTGGCTATTTTAGCTTTCTCTCCAAATTTTGGACTGGAAGTACCAGTGACAGGAAAATCACCCAGGAAAGTGGACTGGTAGACATGCTAGAGGAGGGCGATTCAGTGATGGCTGACAGGGGTTTTAACATTAGAGACATCCTTACAAAGAAGAAAGTTTATCTTAACATTCCTCCCTTTTCTAAAAAAGTAAGATTTAATTGGTATATTTAACATTTTCACTAATAAGGTTTCCCAGAGTTCAACTGATAATTCTCAATTTTATACTAAGAAAAAGCTGTCAAAATATCACTTTAGCTTACCTTTGTAATAACATTAGACTTTAAAAGCCCTTATAAATGTAGGTACCAAACTATGTAATATTCTTAAAAAAACACATATACCATAAACTTATGATAATAAGCCCTGGACTTGTATTTGCTAAAAGGTTTTTTCGCAGGGGCTTATTATTGGAAGGAATTTTGCAATTCAAAATGGGCTGGGCTTGACTATAAAAACAGCTTAAACCACTAAGATGACAGCCTACAAAAGCTAACCATAACAGTCTATGGGCTTATATTCGGGATGGCTTATTATCAGGAGGAGATTTGTGTCTGATATTTGGGGGGCTTATTTTTGGGATGGCTTATTATTATTATTATTATTATTAATTTTTTGGGTTTTTTTTTTGGGGCTTATTATCGGAGTTTTATGGTATATTTTTATAAATAAAACACATTATTTTTCAGGTAAACAGCTATCACGGGCAGCCACAAAAAACACTCGTCAAATTGCTAGAGTGCGAATTCATGTTGAAAGGGCCATCGAAAGATTGAAAGACTTCAAGATATTTCAAGGAATTTTGCCTTTGACCCTGGCTGCACTTGCTGACCAGATGTTGATAGTCTGTGGAGCTCTTTGTAATTTACTTAAGCCACTGGCCAGATAACATATCCCAGATTCCTACAACAAGGATTGTTGAATATTTTCTTATTTAGCACTGCTTCACAACAACAAATAGCAGGAGTATGTGTAATAAAGGATTCAAGTAAAATGTTTTAGCACTCAAGCAGTGAAAACATTTCTGGAAAATCTGGCTGTAATCTGGATTCAATTTCTATTCCAACTATAGGCAAAAGGATACAAATATAATAACACAATTTGCATGTACACATAAAGACATCACATCAACCCAGTTAAATAATATTTATGTAGTTCCACATCAAACTGCAGATTTTGCATAAACCACACAATCACTACAATAAAACCATGCTTTCAAGTTATTTATCAAAAGAAGTATGCTGCACCACATGGGAAGCCCTGAGTTTAAATGAAAACATATATGTGAAGTAATTTACAACAAAACTACACACAATACATCATCAACATCATACTACACATTCATTTCATTCTGTGTTTCATTCCTTTACCGGCTTGATGAACTCAAATTTCAAGTGGCCGGCCTCCAGTGTATGGGTCTTCATAGCTCAGCTGGTACAGAGCACTGCAGCATGAACACAGAGGCCACAGGTTCGAATCCCGTTGAAGCCCGAAAAACTTTTTTTTTTGGGGCTATTTTGACAATTGCTTAAATTGCGATTCACTGTGATGGTCACAAGTTCAGTTCATTTGTATTCACAGAGTTCACATCACTTCATTCTGTGGAAAACTACACATAAAACCTTATGGAATAAGCTATGACCTTACTTCACCTAATATTTTTCCAGTGAGAAGCTCTGGCACCATAAACTTAGAAAAAAACAGTTGTAACTTTTCCAACATTCGCAGAAAAAACTCCTTGTCAAAATCCACATGAACAATCAAAATCCCTTGTTTGTATAAATTACAAGATCAGTGGCATGAATCCCAGAGATTGCCATTTGGCCCTGGATTTGGTAATACCAGGAAGTTTCTTCCTTCAGCTTGAAGCCCTTCGTTGTTTTGAGCAACTTGTCAGAAGCTGCAACTCCAGGTAGCAGATTCCGTTTGGCAAACAAACTCTTGCACTCAACTAATGTCTTACCATGACATTCACAGTGACGAATCTGATCGGGGCTTGCACCAAGAAAAGGCCACTTCTGATTAATAACAAGGCCAGATTCAAGAAGGTGTAGTTCCTTGTGTTTCAGTGAAATCTTCTTTAAATAAAGTTCTGAAGCAGCAATTTCCTTTTCATGGCCCCACTCTAGCTGCTCAGGTATATGCTCCATTGGGCAGTAGTTCATAAGTAGTTTGACAATGTTTGATTTGTCTGTTGTGTCTCTCATGTGGCACACCGGTAAAAGTTTGAAGCTGTTATGCGGCCTGATCGCTGGTCAAACCACAACTGACTACTTCCCTGATGCACTGTTTTCGAGCAAATCACATCACACTGACTTTCACTGACAGACAAAAACTTCATAAACGACTCAACAATGTCTTCAGATATATCCATGTTGTTGTCAATGTTGTTCTGACATTTAAAAATGTTTGCATATTCTTTCATAGTGTAAACAGTAACATTCTCCACAGTTTCAAACCTTTCAACATTTGCATCATTGGTAATGTGTTCTTTCACTAATGGTTCTGGTGTGTCTGGATCTTCTGGCTTCGGGAGAAAGTGAATGGCCACTGACTGAGGGTATAACTGTTGTAGACCCCTCCTCAGCTTTTCTCTCATTGAGCTGGAATCAAAAGATGAGAGTCCTGGTTGAAAATTATGTGGTTTTACAGGATCCTTTTCAGCTTTACCAAACTCAGCTTTAACAATCTTTAAATTCTTTAAAAGGGTAGCATACTGACTATTCCCACTTCTTTTCTTCCACTCACATTTCCCAGAAGTGCACGTTGACATCAAATTATTGCTAACTGTGGCCTGGAGGTCAAACAACACAGCGGCAACGTGCCTGCAGCAACCATCACTCCCTCCTTTACACGGGCAAAATGCTGCGTGTACCTCTCCGCTGGATTTTAGAATTGTGAAACCATTGTAAGTAGCCTGTCCATCTTCCGTTTTGGCTCTTTCAGTGGGCTTAACTTTAAACTTGAAGAAACAAAAGTTGTTCTTCTCTAGCGGACAATACTTTAAATCGATAACATGGCCATCACGAAATAATTTAAAGCCCAGCAAACTTTTAAACGAACGGAGATTCTCCTCAGAGTAATCTTCCTTCCCCACTAGGTAGTTGTAAAGGTCTCCGAAGGTAAACTCCGGGATGTTAGAAAAGTTGTTGGTCCAAGCGGTTAAGGTTTTAGGATCTGGCAATTTACCATCGTTTGTCCGCAGTTTGTCCTCCATCAGCTTGTTGCGGTCTTCGGCGGTATCGTCTAACTTGGCTTGTTTCATCGCTGCCGCTTTTTCGCACAAATCGACAAGCTCTGCCTTCCTCTTGCCTTTGCCCCCATCGCTTAACTGGATACCACGCTCTTTTAAATATCTTTTTAAATCATGGACTTTCAATTTCGAAAAATCTTCGTCAGCACAAGCAACATTGCTGTCAAGAGTGGCGTCCATGTTGGATTTCTTCGCACGAAGCCTCGCTCTCGTGCGTTACTACGGCACCAGTCTCCAATCATGCAGGAACTCGGAAATGGGCTATTTTTCGCTTTGACATCATACTGCAACACGATTGGCCAATCGAACAATGCCATCTCCATATCAGGGTTTTCTTTGGCGGGAAACCGAAGAGTCAACGTTTTGATCTTTTCATCCATCGGCTGATAAAACAAATAACGAACACTTACCGAAACCATTTTTCAAGGTCATACGAAAATCGCTCTATACGGCAATAAAAACATGAAGGAAAACTCACCTCTGGAGATCAACGAGTTTGCAAGAGCGAAAAATCCTTTGGGGGAACGTTTCGTCCTTATGTTACCTTTAAATAGAAAGCGGACGAGTTTCAGCCTCGGCAACACTTGCGAAGACGATGCGATTTTCTCACTATCAAAGCACAGCGAACCCAACTGCTAACACCAGAGACAAGTCTTACAGCAGCAGAAGACAGGCGATATTACAATGCAGATGAACAGTGTAGACAAAGAAATTGTATTTTTATGCACACTTGGATATCTTAAGCCTGCGAAAACAGCCGTCTCTCCTCGCTCTTCGAGGCCGAGGACGCTTCGCCGTGAAAGACGTCTGCGAGGCCTCACCGACAGAAATTCCATACTGATGACCCACAATCTGTCCGAAATCTGGTCAACAGCTATAGCTATTGCGGGAGAGAAATTATTTTCCTACAGAGATGTAATCGCAGTGATGGTGAAAGCAAGAGGGAGCAAACGCGGGAATGTGCATGCTATTTTATACGAACACTCCCTTGGGGCGATGAAAATGATTGGGTCTTAAAAGAGAGGTTAGGATGACACCAGTCGGATTACCAACGATGTAAGTAACATTATGCCTTGACGTTTTTTTGGTACATTTGGGACTTCACGTCTACAGGATTTATTATGTAAACACTGATTTACGTCATCAGTATGGAGTTTCTGTGGCTGAGGCGCAGACGTCCCTCCCTTGTGGTAAGGAGCGAGGAGAAACGGCTGTTTAAGCAGGCTAGGATATCTTGCGAAAAAAACGACTTTAACCACACGCTGCTCGACGACCGACTTAAGTCTTTAGATTTTAGATTCTTGCAACTGCTGATTTCTTTGCTCTTTGAAACAACAACTACCTCTACAACTGAGGAAACTCTTAAATGCAGAAAACATGAAATACCTGTCGGATATCTGTTATGAAGTATACCAGAGGTAAATATTCTTGATGGTACTGAGCTTAGACCGCAAGCAATATGTTATTTTCTTCAAAGTTATCGGTGTAGCACGCACGAGAGGAGCCGAGCCGCGAGTGAATGAGCGCGTAAGCCAGAGGAGGAGATAAAATAAGAAGCGTTTTTTGTCCCTAGGCGCTCGCTGTCACTCGAGGGGTGTAAAAGAGAAAAGGCGGACAGTCCATACTGAGCTCATTATTATCATCATTATCGTCATCATCACCATCACCGTCACCGAAACCTTCATCGTCATCACTATCATCATCGTCATCGTCGTCGTGTCGTCGTCTTCGTCATCGTGGTCGTGGTCGTGGTCGTGGTCATCATCATCATTTTTTACTCACCTGACTTTAAATCCTGCACAACAAGCTCCCCAGTCTGAAATGCATCATTCATCGTTGTAGCTATGACACCTACTGGACCATTCCGCACCCATCCACTACAGTAAAGCCCTAAGGACGCAGCAGTACCATAAATTTCATAACAATTTATAAACGATACGGATTGAAGGAAGTTGATTTTCACTTCAAAACTATACCAGCTTCACAGGCGCAAAACATTAATTCTTTCTTAGAGGGAAGTCACTACAAGAAAAAGCAGCTTCAAACTCAACAGTCCGCTTCAGCCGTAGGTTTTCCGCCCTTAGTACAATTTACATGTTCCAATCTTGGTAACCGTCACACATTTCCCGCCCTTGTTATTGGAAACAGAAGCATATTTTTCCCGCGTAAACACCGGTTGAATATTTTCAGGTCATTGCCAGGGTAAGCTATCGTACGGCGTCCAGGACAGGTTCTATGCTATACTTTTCCCTTCTCATTAATCCACTGAAATCCGGGAAATTTTGAGATTTGCTTTTGGGTTTTGGGTAATTTTCGCCGAGAAGTGCTCATTAAGAATGAGTAACTGCACAATAAATACTCTGCCACTTCCAAGCTGAAACCTGAAAGAGCTGGATAGGCGAATACACAGTGCAAAATCTGATACTTGGATACGAAGTGAAAGCGTACTCCCTTATGCACCTCTATTCCTCGAGGGTTATTTCAAAAGTGGCATGGTATTCAACAGTTGAGCCAAAAATACTTTACCTGGAATCAAAGGGGGAGCTTCATTGCATGACTCTTGACTGCCACCTTTCGAGACACGTGAGAAAAGATCAGATTTTTCTAACTGTGTTTTAATCCAGCTACTTTGATGACGACTGAAAACCTTAAGAACAGGCACAAGGAATCAATTTTCCTTGTGCCTCACCATTTTCCTTGTTGCTTCACCCATATAAAACACACACGACGAAAAGAAACAGCCGCCCAAGCAAACAACAACGCAACTCAGTGCATCTAGCTCCAAAACCACCAGCGAGTACACAAGGAGGTGAGTTACTTCCCTGAAACCCCAAAGTCAAGGAAACAGCCATTACTCTATTGTTTAGCACTTCTAAGCTCACATCTCCACCAACCATAAATTTGAATAGAGTGTTGGTGTTCCTCTTTGATTAATGTACGCTCATCAAGTATGAAAATGATAAAAAAGCTATTGGGAGTGGTTCTTGGCAACACATGAAGTTGAGAAATATCGAAGTCTTCTCGCATTACGAACGTCAGCCTTGATTATTCTCGCTATTAGGCTCAGCAGCCTTGTCCAATAATATTATTAATTGTACGTGAAAACTGAGTTCAAACCTGTGTTTATAACTCTGCCATTTATGTTTGGTACTATCCCTCTTCTCTTGTCAAAAGGAATTTGATCGTCGATTGGGATGCTTTTATATCCAATGCTACGAAAAACCTGCAAGTAAAAAAAATCGACAACAGATACAGTAACCACTCTCACACTGACATCTCTCCTCGTCCCAAATCTGACTGTTGGCTCTCAAAAATCAGCCCTGAGACTTTCAATCAGTACCCTAACTTACGTAATTTATTTAAGAATACCTTAAGGCTTAACCTCGCTGCCTCTCCACTTCCAGCATCCTACTGTATATGAATATAAGGTACAAACTAGGGCATTGCCTTGATTTATAGATTGACTGATTGATTGATTAAATTAAATTTTATGACTGACTCGCCAGAGTTCATTTTGGCAGGCACGGTTCACGGTACTCGCTGGGCACTAATGTGAACACACCATTTTTTCAAGTGCCCGAGTACGGTACTCACTGGGCACTATTAAATGTGAACACACCATTTTTTTCATTTTTGGCAAGAAATGGACCTACAGTCTCTTATCGAATTCGGTGAACACAACACCATTTTGGGGTACCCAGAGTACAAGGTCTGAACTTGTGTACTCGTGCATTTTTCAAACAAAAAATAATGCACAGAAAAGATTTGACTAGTTAAAATAACCAATTTAAAATTGTTGCAAAAAGCATTTGAGACAATGCCTAAATTGTTAATCACAAGTAAAATGTGGGCGATCAATGATCAAAGCCCCCCATCTTATTCTTAGAAAAATCTCTGCAATGTTTTTTGAAGCAAGACAGGCTACGCCTTCTAAGCCTGTCGGTAAGTTATTCGTTATGTTGTGTTATGCGTCTACGTCTATGTCTACGTCTGTGCGTCTATGTCTGTGCGTCTACGTCTATGTCTGATATGTCTATGTATGTTTTGTTATGTTATCTTATGTCTATGTCTATGTTATGTCACTAGTTAAAGTAGCTTGGGACTCACCAGCCCACAGGGCAAATCCTCGAATACACCAGTGCCCCTTGCTTGAATTGATCCATCATTTTGCTGTAGTGATGACAAACAAAACATAACTTATTAATTTGTTTCTCCTCATAGCCAGGAAAAAGAGATCTTTACTTTGTGGCAATGGCTGGGTTGAGTCTACTGAACTGCAGACCTTTGTATCATTGTAGAGTCTCTGGTCTCTACCGAAACGTGTGTAAATTTGGAAAACTTAAATAAAAGTGATCTTTACGTTTTGAAGAAAAACTCCATTTCTATATTTTGCAACCCAAGAACAATGTTCTTGAACAGCAAAACTACTTCTGGATGGAAAAGCAACATTGTGTTGGGTTAAGTTCTTCTTCAGTTTTCCATCTATGCTCACAAAAGGTGTTTATTACTTTGTTTGCTTTTAATAGTGTGAAAGATTTTCATTCTAATATATCTTAATGAATGGCCCCATTTTGATATTTTTAAATTCAGCCTTCAAATGTTCAACAAAACTCAGCACAAGCCTTATAAAGGTTTCCGGTTTATTCTTCAAAGCCCCACAAGCATGTTTATTGTTTTAGGCTGAACCCTGTCTCCTCCTCAAGAGCTTGGTTTTTTGCACAGAGGCTACATGAAACATGAGTGACAGGTGAGTGACTGGTCGAGAGAGGGACATCTGGGTACGAGGCAGGGCCTAAAATATGCTATTTACAACAAAAACATTGTGTTTTTGTGCATAAATTATCTCAGACCCATTCAATGGATTTGCTTGAGAGTAACTATGTTTTTTTCCTCCAAAAGTCTGTTCATCAAAGTCACCTCTGACAACTGTCACAAGTGGTACTTTGAACGGGTTATATCACAAAACATGAAACTGCCAATTATTATTTAATGACATGTATTCAAAGGAAAATAATCATAAATTAAAACTCTAGGAAAATCCCCTAACCTGAGAAAACAGCCTACATTTCACGACACCATCACTGGTTTACCAGCTAAATGACATCTGAGAATTAAAACTACCCAGATCTGATTAGTGTCGTATCATCAGTATGGAATTTCTGCACTCGTTTCTCAGATGTCATTTTGTGGGGAAACCAGTGGTGGCGTCACCAAATGTTGGCTGTTTTCTAAGGCTGCAAGTCCCCCATTGCAGTTAATGCTTGTCATTTAATAAAAGAATGCTTGGCAAAAACATACCTCCACTAAATCATTGATTTCAAATCTGACTCCAGATAGATTTGCTCTGCCTGGTGCTGACAACATCTCAACTGGACTCCTTTGAAATTTTAATGTCCACTCCTTATTAGCAGTCTTCTGTGAAATGCTCTCATCCCTTCCATTCATGAAACAAATGTAAATTATTTTATACAATACCATAAGGCTTTGTCAAAGAAATAGAAAGAAAAATGGTCTCTCAAAAATCACATAATGTGGCTATGGTTTATATTTTGATCATGTTTTGGTCATGTGATTCCCACAAAGTTTTGTGTCCCAGTTTTCGCAGTTATAAGTTGGGTGTTTGTCTAGTTTGTCAAAAAAGAAACAAAGAATCAACCTAGGTTAAACAATTTTAACCTGAACTTAATTTTGACCTGTAACATGTATTGAAAGTGTATGTGGATAACATGGCATGTGTTGTATGGTTGAAGTCAGTTTTATCACCAACCTCAAGTTCATTTTGTGGAAACCACCCAAAATGAGACTTTTTATGACTGTAAAAAAGAATGGTGACACAGAGGTTGTTTTGAGCTGAAGAGCTTCATGATATGATAATAAAGAGGCAAACTTACAGTGCTGTCTTGCACATCAGTTCAGTGAGTCTTTTCCGGGGTCGTGGAATGCCTGTATTAAACAAGAATCAAATTATCAACATAAAACAGATTAAGTGTTAAATCCATGGTATATGGCAGGACTAAATTCATGCAACAAAAAACCTTAGGATGTAATTGGGGCTTGTGATAACACTATGCTATGTGATGCTTTGAGGTTGTCAAACATTCTTGATTTTTCACATAGGCCTGTTTTCCTGCGCTCAACATTCCTCAGTATTTTTTTTGGCCATTTTCCCCTTCTTTCTCCTAGCAAAAACGTGGTCAGCATTCTTTGCCTTTCTTTGTTTAAAGTGAAAACAAAAGAAACCTAATGAACCACAAAACATGTAAGATTATCAGGGAAAGGAATTACAATGCTTTAAAAATACAGACTGAAACTGCTTTTTATTACAAAAATACTACAAAGTCTTGTGGAGAACTGACATCAGTAGATTCAGACCTTCTCCTAATGCCAGGACAAACAAAACTGGCTCATGAGAAAATTCAACTCAAAGTTCATAAAACTTTCCTTTCTCTGAAAACACTTTTTAAGATCTCTATGCAGTTCTCTATCATCATTGTCTTGCTGACAATTTATTCTTATTGTCAAACATACTCTAAACTTACAATTACCCTTACCCTTTTTCAACTATCTACTTAAAAAGAAATCATCTCAAGATGTGCACAGCTAACTATGAACGCACACGCTCTTTTTTTGTTCTTACAGTTGTCAGTTATCTCCTGGCTCCCAGTTATCAGTGTGCAAAGAAAGTCGTGTCCAATAGTCTGGGACTAGTGGATTTTGGGTGGACTAGTAAATTGTGTCCTTAACTTGATGGGCAAGTGAATTTTTGTTAATCAGAATGACTCTTGGGCTAGTACATGTTACAATCTTGGACAAAAATGTTGAGAAAAATGGACATTAAGATAAAGCTCTTGAGTGCACTGGCAACTATAAAATTATACTTTCCTTCCCCCCCAAAAAAACAATGTTGAAGTCTGGCTGGATCATTTCTGACCTCGACTAAACAATTTCGACTAGGGTGGGGCAAGGGGAGGGACCAAAGCAGTACCAAATCCGGGGGATAGGCATTCTGTGGGTAAGAAAGTGCAAATTCTTAACACTTTTTGTCCAAGATGGTAGCTACAGCCTGCCCAAACGGCAAGCTGTAAAACTGACTTTCTTTGCACCCTGAGTGATGTCAACTGTTGGGCAGCTTTTTTTACCAGGAGGACAGACACAACTGAGTACAGTAGTCACTGTTAAGAGAGGTTCCACTTGATCAGCTTTCTTTCATACTGACTTACTTGTAATCTTTTCTTGTACCGGTTTGAAATCTTCTGGATCAAACACAGCTTTACAGCCAACTAATTTTGTCATTTCACGTAACTCTTTGATGGTAAATGCTACCTAGACAAAAAAGAGGTATATGAAAATCAAAAAATATTAATAGTTACAGCAACTTCAAAGAACATGCAATTCACTAATTTCTAGTGCAGCAGAATGTAGCAATATTATATGCATATATGTGTATACTATGCTTTCAAGTGTCAGGAGAATCAACTTTGCAGTCTTTTAATTTCAAGGGCAACCCAAGGAATCATTCTGGTCCATGAAATAGCCTGAAGACAAACTTCCATTATTTTGGTAAGTGCTTAAGCAGAAAGGTCTGAAAATGCCACTTTCATTCTCTACAAAATCTGGTCTCAGTCAACTGAATGATCCACAGTGTTTTCCCAGTTTCAAAGGATAGAATTCTTTCCATGCCTGTTTAAGTGATACATTAAAGCAGTAAAGTGCCATGCATTCGAACACTTTTGAATCCTAAACATTAATTCCTCTTAGGATACCTAAACTAATAGTTCTCACCATTTGATCAAATGTCACCATTAGATATACAGGCTGGTAACATAGAGTCGAACCTCTGCACAACGGCCACTTTGGGGATGGAAGAAAGTGATTGATGTGGAAATGTGGCCATTATGGGGAAGTAGAGGGTGTAATATGGCAATTTTCTTAAGGGGAGTACAACGTGTTTATTGTGCCAGGTTCATGCCTACTTTATGCCATAATGGTAATCCAATCACACGCACACTCACGAAACTTAAATAATGTTTTGAATCAAAATGTTAACATGACAAAATGAAAAGGGGTTCGCAACATCTGCTATAAGCATTGTAGACAATTTTATGCTTACTGCATCAGAATGGATGAAACACAATCAAAATACAATTATTGCTGTGATTAATCACCGTGCCATATGGATCAAATTTTGCGACCATTCCTGACTTTTTTGTCAGTTGGTGAAAAAAAACTGGCCGTTGTTGAGAGGTTATTTTGGCAGTTGGGGACACAGTTTAGTGGCTGTTGCCGCTGTAGAGAGGTGGCCATCTTTGAGGGGTCTAAACAAGAGCCAATGTATGAACAGTCCACCCCAAAAAAGTGGCTGTTGTAGAGAGGTGGCCATCTTTGAGGGGTCTAAACAAGAGCCAATGTATGAACAGTCCACCCCAAAAAAGTGGCCGTTGTAGAGAGGTGGCCATCTTTGAGGGGTCTAAACAAGAGCCAATGTATGAACAGTCCACCCCAAAAAAGTGGCCGTTGTAGAGAGGTGGCCATCGTTGAGGGGTCTAAACAAGAGCCAATGTATGAACAGTCCACCCCAAAAAAGTGGCTGTTGTAGAGAGGTGCAGCTGTTAGCGGAGGTTTGTCTATTGCATATCTCACCTGTAATGGCCCTCTTCTGCCTACAATATGAACTGTTTTCACACAGCTTTTCCTCAGTACTTCTATGGCATGTTCACATATGTCTGTTTTCTGAATCATTAGGAAACAAAAAATAAAGGAGCTTTACAATGATAACTTAAACAGGCATGGCTAAAGGCTGCTCAGGCCTAATTCCCAATATTTTTACAGACTGGGGCAAAAGAAAAAGGAATAATAACATGGAAAAAAAACACGCACCTATCTGTCTGTCAGTTTGACTGTTCAACTGATTGTCTGTCTGTCTGCCGGTCTGTCGGTTTTTCTGTCTGTACATCCGATTGGCTATCTATCTTTTTGTCACTCTGTCTGCGTATTAAGTGAGTTCTGAATTAATTACCTCCAAACGTTCAACAGGACTGAGCAAGATCCTGGCAACATCAAGGGCCACATTTCCTTGTCCGAGTATTACTGCTGTCTCAGCACTCAAGTCTGGCTCTAACTAACAACAAACATGTTACGTGTATAATTAAATCAAATAGAAGTGTTACATTTATGTCCTTGTTCCCTTACAGTAGTTCTAGCTAGTGACTCTCAAACACACCAATATCCATCTTTGGAAAACCAAGTCAGCAAATTAGGACAAAACATTTAGGGGAAAATAACTACAGGTAAGCCACTTAACATGATGAGCAAGAAAGCCCCTGGCACTTAATATCAGTCAACCTTTTCCTGAAATATCAGAATTAATTTTCATTCTTTCTATTGGCCAGAAATTTTTTTCTGAGCAAATCAGAAGTAAGAATTTTTTTAAAATGCAGTTGAAATTCAGGTTTGGTAACAGTAAGGGCCCAACATGGCTCTTAAAAAATTTTGCAGCAACAATGTCCTGAACGTTAACACACTTGGCCTTGATGGATGACGCAAAATTAGTCAAGTTACCAAAATACTATCGATAGTCCTAGATAATAAGCTACTGTCGCAAACTAAACATATGAAGTCACACCACAAAAAAAATTAAATCAAAGATGTAAAACATTAAAAATATTGTGTGTGGCATGATAATTATTACAGAAAAAAACACCGTACTTGAGAATTAGCAGGTAGTCCATTATACCACTCTACAAATGCTCTTGCTGAATACACCCCATGTAAATCCTGAAACATAATGATATTATTAACAACTAAAAATTCTTAGCCAACTAACAGACTAACTAACCCACCAACTGAATGAAAGACTCGTTGACTGACTGACTGACTGACTGACAGTTGGCTAGTTAGTCAGTCAGTTGAAAATCTGTTGTTCTGCTTCGACAAAGGGTTCATGCTTAAAACATCAGTCTTTCACTCTTTTTTACACTGATATTCTTTTTATCTACTCAGTTGACTCACTCTTTAACTGATACACTGCTACAATAATCTTCTGAGAGACTGACTGACACCCAGGCCACCCGCTGACTAACAGATTGACCAGCCTTGACTGACTGACTCTTTGAGTGACAGATTGACTCACTGACTCACCACCCTGCTAACTGACTGACTGACTGATGGCTATCAGAAAGTTTAGTGACTCACTGATTGACCCACTCACTGACTCCACAATGAAAATACACCTCTTTTTTATTACAATTAATGTTTCCATTCCCATTATCAAAGCTGTTTTATTATTTTCATCTAAACTACACAACTGCTACATACTGAAAAACTGTCTAACAGTTAAAAAAAGGCAAAATGACCCAAGTCAATCCAAATGATTAGACAGACTGGACAGCCTAAATTATACAGGGTTCTCCTGAAAATTTCCAGTAGAGGGTAAAAACTGAGAAAATTCAAATTTGAGAGCCCACTGAAAAGTGCACTTCAGTACATGTACATGTACATTGAATAACCTGGAAAACGTTTTGCATCATTTTCTACCATGTGTTTGCCGTCACACTGAATGAAACAATTTATTATGACACTTTAAAAATTAGGTGGGTCCACACTAGACCCCTAAGTGCACTTGACCTGTACTCCAGTTCACGTGTTCTTGGAAATCACTTGAAGTGCACTTAGGTTTTTTGTAAGAAATGGAGTTCACACTGAAGTCAAAAAAGACAGGAGCCGTAGACAACAGGCATCTTTAACAGTTCCAAAACGAAAGGATAAAAATGCAACTGATGGTTTCATCTAGGTAAATCAAAGTAAGGGAAACCTAAAAGCCGTCCTCACTAATCTTTTGAGCTCATTGCTTCAAGTTTTTAAAATCGTATTTCAGATGTTGTATTCTTTTCTTAAACGGCTTAGGTAAGGTTCTGACACTTTCAACAAACCTTAGTGCTGCAGTTAAACACGGCTTGAAAAAACAAACAATAAAGTGCATTCAACAAATCACAAAATGGGGAAATATCGCTATTTTGTGGAATATATGTCATTTTGTATCCAGGGCCAAGTATTGTATTAACAATGTGTCTGTCAAATAAAAAGCCTGGAGAAAACATGAAATTTCCAAACCAGCTCATGGATCAGAACTGAAAAAACCTACCAATATTTCGTGGAGATCACTAAGTATTCTCATGCATCATTTCTTGCTTGATCACACGAGAGAGTTAAGTTGTGGCGCGAGATGATTGACACTTTGATCATAAGATTCCGACACTTTGATTGGATAAGTGCAGTCTCAAGGAAGGTTTTGACCTTTATTGACAGTGAACTTCAGCACTTTGAGACTTTGAGGTTTCTGTGGCAACTAAGTACCACTAGTCACGTGAAACAAGACCCGTTCACACACAAGTTAGTGTCAAGTGCACTTCAAAATAATGTACTTCAAGACATCAGTGCACTTGACAAGTCCAGTGTGAACCCACCTATTATTATCTTTTGAGTACCCCGCACTGCTGTTTGACTAGAAGGTGAATCTCACCACTCACTGGTGCTTCCAGAGAACCCTGTCAATCATTAGTAAATTTTATCTTTGTTTTACACATGTACCTCACCAGGTATTCCAAATGTTCTATCATCTTCTGCACCATAACACTAAATAAAGACAAACCAAATGAATGTATTTGTGACAAACGCAGTAACCAACCTTCTGAATACAAGTTGAATCAAACTAAGAGGGTTAAAAAAACTTTCTTTCACAACTACTGTCCAATGACAGAAATAAAATTTATACAGCCACAACACTGAAGGCAGTCCTAACTTGTATCACATAGCCCCAGTATGTGTACACACCTTTAGGCTGTTCACAGTGCCTATTTTTTTCGTAAGATCATCAGAATCGAGCGCTTACCAATACGCACGTCCATCGTGGTTTCATATCTGCAATGAGGGGGTGGGGTCTGGGTTTAAAGCAGTGGGGGGAGGGAGGTGAGAAAAATACAGGGGCAGTCCCAACATCACTGCAGCTCACATTCACGGAGTGCGTTGTTCCAGCAACGCAGGCATTTGATTGGTCATTAGACAATAGATGTTAATTTGCATTGACAACAGGGTTTAGTTGCTGACACTGACAAGTTGTTGACAAGTCATTGTTTCTATAAACCCTTTCATACAGGCTTTCATAATACCTGTTTACCCAACTTTAACTTTTGTGTTATTTTGGATCCTCATCATTTTGGGCCGAAGACAAAACTGAGGAAGGATTTAATAGACATTTCATGGGGGACGGATGACATAAAACCATTTGGCTGTTTGAAACACCAATTATCGCTACTTTCCTTGCAAGTATTGTTTTGAAAACCCCAAGCTATCGCAAATTTTCAAGGCACATTTTGCACAAACTCACAAAGAAGACGAAGAATTTTTGGTATCAAGGATAAATACCCGGCCAGGGGAATGTTGTTTCAGATGTCTGGGGAGTTTTGAGTGAGAAATACGGTTTCTGCCAAATGAAGGGCAATTACGCTACAAAGATGCAGAAAGACGACCTATGTCAGAAATGTCTAGCTTTTTCGGGGCGCATTTAACTGTTTTCTCGATGTTGAAGCAAGCAGATGTTTGTAAACATGCAAAATGGATGCTGAATGTGTCTGGCATGTTTTTCATTGTAAGCGGAGTTTCTTAATTAATGAATGGTAAAAGGCGCGAAATTCTTGTCATGCCCACTGAACACCAGCAGCGGTAACATTAGGACAGCAGTCTAACTCACTTTTCTCTCATCAAATTTTGTTAAGTTATGGCTTTTCAGCAGGTTTGTCCAATTTTGAGGCAAACAATGAAAGGGAGAAGGAAAAGGAAGTCGAGCACAACATGTCAATTGACCCAAGTTCTAATGTCCAGGATTGCAAATCGCAATAATATTACTACACTCACCAAAATAACTGCATCATAGGCTTGTAACAACTCTGAAATATTCAAATCTTTCCCAATGTTTACATTTCCAAAAAATGAACATCTCTCAGACTGGGCTGTAGATGTGAACTGATTTATGCAGTTCTGCAATAAATTGACAAGCAGCTAGTCACAATAAACAATGAGTTAAAATCCAGAATGCAGTTAATTCTATTGCATCCTCTATCATCTATATGAAAGCTTTGAATATGAAGTACACTGTAATTTGGGGGTGGACTATTCTATAAAGAACACCTTTGACCAGTCTATTTAGCTCTTAAATTGCAGTAGGATGTCTTTACTTTTGGTAACAAGACAAGAAAATAGAGAAAATATAAAAAAAATTGCTAACATCTACACAAAAAGAAGTGCCACATGACTTATAAGCACAGTACTTGTTGCAAGGCAAAATACCAGTAGTACTGTAATACCGAGTTTTCCAGAAATTCCAATTGACTTAGATATACATGACTAATTTTATGGCTGTCGCTTTTTTTGCCGTTCTTGTCACCGTCGCCGTCGTTGTTGCTTAACCTTCCTATTGTGATAAAATGGTAACATGGCATCACACTGCTTCTCTCCATTCACTATAAAAGACTTTGTCAAGAAGGTTTTCCCCGACTTTGCAAAATTTCTTGACCTTGAAATTTTTTTTTCCTGCCTTTTCTATTCCCATGTCACTGAACCATGAGGTAGATTCACCTCACAATGTTCTAAAGTGTAGATAAATGAACAAGCTTGCTGTAACGTTGTACCTTTGTTTCAGGATGATCAGGAGCAATTCCAAATCTTGCTAAGCCAAATGGAACAGGAAGGCGTTCATATATGTCAATCAAAGCATCATCATGGGACTGCAGATAATAAAAGGCACTTTACTTTAATATTATTTCCCTTATATGGTTACATGCATACATACATACAGCCTTTACTCATACAAGATATTAATTCAAAGCTACAAGCTTGTGGGGTCGTGTGCAAAAATTACAAATAAAATTTAAATGTTAAAAGTTATTAATACTAGGAAATTAATATGGTTAAATATGTTTGATAACTAAAAGTAAAGTGGCTACCATTAGTGCAAAGGTAAAGCCTGCATTCGAGCCTAGAGGGCCGTCAGGCTGAAACTTCTGTTTTTTGGCGTGAAGCAACTAGAGATATTTCTACCCCCCCCACTAATAAGTCTCGCGATTTCACGGCCTTTCCCCTCGTTCTCACGAGTTGGCAACTGATTTCTCACACTTTCTCAAAGAGTCAAACTCCAAAACAATCTTGGAGTTGCAGGCTTTGTTTCCAAGTTAGATATCAATAGCCAGCTCAACCCCCAAAAAACGCTTAGTGATTGCCTTTGATTACATCCTTTTAGCCTACCCAACTTGCTGCTGCCACCAAATGTGCAGACTAACCTGTTTCCTCTATTCCAAGATGGCCGCTGACAAAACATAGAAATCACAAAACCAAAATAATTTGTAAAATTGATCCTGATGTTTACTGCTCCAGCTTTAAAGTGATATAGTGACTTCCAATACCCATAATCGTCACTGTAAGTCCTTCCACTAGGAAATTTGGGACATCTCATGACTTTTCACCCACTTCTCACTACTTTTCCAAGCTCTAGGTTCAGAATCTCACTTTTCTTGCCTTTTGGGGATTGGCCTGATGTGGATCAACATTTTCAATTCGCAGGTGTGGAACACACGCATCATGGGTGTGAGTTGGCAGATACATCACTTGATACGGAGTCCAGGACCCAGTTGTTCAAAAGCTGGATGGCGCTATTCACTGGATAAGTATTAGAGAAACCAATTGCACTATCCCCTGGATAGAGATTTACCCGGTGGATAGCGCCATTCATCTTTTGAACAACTGGGGCGAGAGCTCTAACCACTAAGCCACAGTGCCTCCCAAAGTGCTTTAGTGTGACCTGAATCTAAATACGCACATGCACTGTTTTTTAAAATTTTGTTTCGTTTGTTTGTTTGTTTTTTCAAAATTATGCTAGGCTGTTCTAGTCATGCCAAAAATTTACTCTGGCCAAACCCAACTTTCAGGTTAGGAGGGCCTGGCTAGACAGCTGCTCACTTTAGAACTACTGACCTTCAAAATTTGTTGCGCAGTGTAAAATCCTGCAGGACCACTACCCACAATACCAATATGAGGCCTGTCTGACTCTGCTGTCATACAATTAAGCTTGCGTGAAACTGTTAGCCATCTAAAGACAGCCCTTCCCAGAGGAGGAGATCTACAATGAACTAGAAAAAGTTTGGAAGCAGGGCACCTTCCAAGAGCGATCAACATTTTTTTAAGTGACTTCAACTTGTTTAAGATCTTTCTATCGACCTAAACAGACAAGGGGAATAAATCTCTTCTGAAGTAAACGGCGATTACACATACATTTCTAAAGGAACAACCTGTGAGTACTATGTGACAGAGAAGCAAGCGGGAACACAAAATGAGCCCGCGATAGAAAGGATGTTGAACAGCGATCTACGCCTACCACAAGATATGTTATTCATGTAAGATCTTACTCTAGTAATAGATCACAAAAATGGCGGAAGCAAGCGGTGGTGAAGAAGTGACTTCTAATTCTGATGATAGAATTGCGAAATCAGATGATACAGAATCACCTCAAGAGAAACCCACTTGTATTTTGTGCCTTGGTATGGCTGGATCAGGAAAAACAACATTTGTACAGGTATTTTCAAAGTTCTAGGTTCCTGGCCTATTCTAGTTTTATGACTGCTGATTGTGAATGTTAACGTTTACCATATGTGACCTTCTTTGGGAAAACGTACACTAACGATATTTCGTTAAACGGTTAGACCGTTAGCTGTCCGTTAGTCATCCGTTAGATGATTCAATGAAAATCGTTAGAGGCGTTAGGCAATTCGTTAGCAACTCATCCATAGCCGTTAGAGCGTTAGTTGTATCCGTTAGAGGTGTTAGTCAATTCGTTAGCAACTCATGTATATCCGTTAGAGCGTTAGTTGTATCCGTTAGAGCGTTAGTCCAGGAAACTAAAGCGTTAACTGACGATTCTATTGCTTTGCTGATCAAGGCCGCTGCCTTATGGGCGCCCTGTCGTCAGAGGTTTGTACGATTAATTTTATTCGCCCGCGGGCGACCGAAATTATAAACAAGGAGCCCGCATCGGGCACCTGAAACTAGTGATTCTTGCCAAACCCGTTTCCCAACGTCCAGTGAACGAACGACACAATTCCCTACCCGTTCTACGCTTTTGAAACGAAAAATTAATATCAAAATGCTTGGTCGTCGGCTGTAGGCAAAAGATACCGACGATAAGAAGTAAACAAACAAGCACACGTCTTGAAATCCGCTTCTCTGCAGACTTCCGCTAATTGATCTCGAATGAATTGAATGGTTGCAGGAAAACCTTCGGTATAAAAGTCATGACCTTCTTCCCGTCTTTTTGCCTTTAGAAACGTTGAGGCTCTCTAGTAATTAAAAAAGTCTACAATCATTCAATACAGCTTTTATTCATGTGTTGTCCGTCACACAACGCTTCACTGCGTATTCAAATTCCCGGGAGTCAAATTTCAACCGAAATTTGCATAAAGTTGTTTACGAAACCGATACGGCATCTTGTTGAAAAACTTTCATCAGACATCGAGGGGCTTGCTTGATATAGTTTTTGGAAACATTACAGTCCCAAGTCAAGATACGTGTTTGCAAACAGTAGTTCTTGTCAATACGATGCAGTAGAAGTTTCATTCCAGGAGAAATTGGACGGCCTGTTTTTTTGAAGCGCAGTCGTTTCGAGACAAGTCGATTTCGATTATTATTTTACTCGTTGATCACATCACTAGTGATTTTGATGCTTTCAATTTTCAGCCGTTTATCGATCGACAGCTGTACTTAAAACTTTCGCTCAATACATTGATAACAACAAGATGAACTAACCAGCCGTTAATAGATTGCTTAATAGGAATAGCGCTCGATTACTTCCACCAATTCAACTGTTAGAGCGTTAGAACAAATCGTTAGAGCGTTGGAACGAACCGTTAGAGCGTTAGAACAAATCGTTAGAGCGTTTGGACAAATCGTTAGAACGTCAGAACAAACCGTTAGAACGTTTGGACAAACCGTTAGAACGTTAGAAAAGCCGTTAGCTATCCGTTAGCTATCCGTTAGTTTTCTAATGATAACGAAATATCGTTAGTGTACGTTTTCCCAAAGAAGGTCACATATTGCCACGTGCTTTAATGCTTTATGAAATATTCCGAAGCGCGGATCTAGGATAAATACTGACCGATTTCCTAAACGATCGCCGAAGGCGCAAGCCTCTAATATAAGGGGGTCAGGGGGCATGCTTCCATGACAATTTTTTGAAGTTTTAAGTCCCCTTTCCTTTCCAGACAGGCTATTGGCCAGTTCCATTCTACTCGGATGAAGCCTTGCAAATCGGCGAATTGTTTCATTCTTGATTTGTGGGGAACAAGAGGAACCTGCAATCCTAATTTCCAGGTTGTTATTATGCATGCATTGCATGTATGAAGCCAGCATCTGTTTGGACTTCCAGTAAGAATGTATGGAATGCACAGAACACAATTTGATGACTCACGTTGTAACCTTCTATTACTCGTAATCTGATCACGCAAATTTGATTACGCACCTTTTTGACCATCTGTCACATGGAACTTTCGCAAAGCACAGCGCTGGAACAAAAGCATTTTGACCTTCGATCATTGTCGATCATCTTCATTAGCATACATTAACCTACCCGAAAACAAAAGAAATAAAAAATAACCTGAGATAAAAAATTAACTGCAACATATATATATATATGTATAAAGGGTGTGGATAAAACTTTAAGGTTCAGATTCCTGTCATCTGAGGGGGTGCAGATAAAAAAAATGGAATGTCCCTCGAAGGAAGTTGATATTTTGGATTGAAAGCCTTTGCAGTTGCCTCAGAAATCTGCCACTTCATAGCCTTCAAGCAATAACAGCAAAAAAAGCATTTTTTATTTACTTTTGCTCAAATTAAACAAGAAGTTCCCTTGCTGCAATTTCAGTAAAAAAAAAAATGGGAAGGGGGGGGGGGGATTTCCATACGCTCCATTCATTTAGTACGCATAAGTGAAAATTTCATCTTAGAAAATGGTGAAAAACAAATTGCTCTATGTGAAATGGCAGCTAGAGAGGTTTCATTTAAATTATTTGTCACACCGCAGGATTTTATTTTACAGTCTCAGAAGTTTTTACTAGACTCCATCATTAACTCTGGGTTTGGAAGAAGGCCGTTTAACAATAATAATTGTTAAATAATTTCTGAAACTATGTAATAACAAATTTCAGAGACTCACAGCACACTTGTACGCCCAGAAGGAGACACCTTATGTGGTAAATCTTGATCCCGCTGTGAGAGAGGTACCCTATCCAGCAAATATTGACATCAGAGATTCCGTCAACTACAAAGAAGTCATGAAACAATACAAACTAGGTCCAAATGGAGGCATTGTCACATCATTGAACCTGTTTGCAACAAGATTTGATCAAGTTATGAGTTTTTTGGACAAGAAACGCTCAACTGATTTCAAGTAAGTAAGAAATTGTTTATCTTAGAATGGGTCATTTCTTTTAGTAATATCATGGCTGAAAGTTAAGCAACTTCTCTTGTTCTATTCCCAACAGCTTGAATGCATAGTGCCGCGTCAATTTGGGCATGCATTTCAGTATCGATTGTGTTACATTAATGATCATATGTTCACTTGTTAATTTGCACAAATTATAACTATTACACCACAACATTAATTTATTTAATGGGTTCCATGCAAAAATGTCCCCAGGCTGCTTCACTATTAATGTAAAACATAATTTTTGTAGTATTAGACACCTTTAAGGCCAAAGGTGAGGTGAAAATTTGAAAAACACTTGCCATTCAGGCAAGCTGTAGCTGAAATTTACCACCACAGAGCAGTCATACAGACCTACCAACTCTCTTCTTTTTTTTGGTTGCTTGCCTATTGGACAACTCTCGATCATGGCATGCTTCATTAGCCACAGACAGCTTCTTTGTCATGCCCTGCCCATGTTGGTCCACAAGAAAAAGAAACTGCACTAATTACTGTGCATTTTAAATGATATTTTATTGCCATATAGTATCTCTCTCCTTCCTCCAAAAATATTCTTGGATTGTGCTTGTTATCTTTTTTGTAAATGAAAAAATAATGATAAAGGTGACCAATAATCAGTACAAAAATGGAAACAGAAATGAGAATATAAAGTTATTCATCATTGTTTGAAATGATATCCTTATTACGCTGTTATGTCTCATAGAACTCCTTTTAAAACTGATCATGGCATTTCAACCAGTTACAGCCTGTAAAGCAGTGAGCAATCAAAATGTCATGATCAACATCAAAGTTAGTAGTATAAAGACAGTAGTATAAGTTGGTATTGTTTTAATAATTGTTGAAATTATGAAATGCGATAGTAGTTGTCTAATTTAGTTGCAGGTATCATTTCATGTAGTGCAATATTGTTTTTTTTTTTTATTCATTATGGGCATTGTATTCCAGATATGCAATATTTGACACGCCAGGCCAGATTGAGGTGTTCACTTGGTCTGCATCAGGAGCCATTATAACTGAAGCACTGGCATCATCATTTGCGACAATTGTAGTGTATATTATTGACACAGCAAGGAGTACCAGCCCAGTTACATTTATGTCAAACATGCTATATGCTTGCAGTATCTTGTACAAGACAAAGTTGCCTTTTATTGTTGTTTTAAACAAGGTAAGTATTATTATAGTTAGCCTCAACTCTGCAACTCAGTAAAGAAGCTTCTTAGAGACGAAAAGTCATCTGACAAGCAAATAGTCCAAAATTCTTCAAATGCTTCCACAGCCTGGGCCATTGAGGATGTCATTTCAACGCCCAAGATTTTTAAGTTTTCCTTTCCGGCAGTGAAGTATAATCATGCTCAAGGCAGATACTTCTGAAATCATGGTCTGATGTACTTCAAAAAGTCTGATGATCAATGATGCACTAGAAAAAGATATTGGGATTAAAATTAAACAGCATGAACTTCGCACGTACTCTCTCCTTAAAACAATAACAACTTCTCCTGGTCACCCCTGCCCAGTGGTTTTAGAAAAAATCCTTAAGAATTTCTTTAATCTTTCAAAATTTAAAACTGCAGATATGAAGCAAAGCATTGTAGTGTTGGATTCCCTACAGGAATGCAAATTAACTTCAAACAGTTTGACCAGCAATGTTTAACTCTGGAAGACACTAAACTCCTGGGCCGGGTTTTTCAAAGCTGGGTTATGATAACCAAGAAATTTATTGGCAAAAAAACACCCTCATAAATATTGAAGGTAAAAAAAGGAACTCAATTTTCTAATTCATTTTTTCTAAAATTGGAAGATTGGACACAAGTCTAAAGAATCATCATCAAATTATCAGAGAAAAAAATTAATTTTAAACAAAACAGAAAAAAAACCTCAAGAAACCACCTGGGGATTACCAATTTAACATCACATTATTGCACTAATCAGCTGGGTTTTTGCAGGGCTCAAAAAATTTCAGTAACTATTTGTCCAAAAACTCACCCTTTGTTCCTAAAGATAGAAAAGCTTGACAAGTTTGTAAAATAATAGATGCAGTAACAGTTCCAGATCCTCTATAAACAAAATCGTTAGCTAAGATAGGGAAGAAGTGGCCCCAGGCAAGAAAAATGTGAGACAAGCTGGAATTCAATTTTTTTTTCCGCTCCCTGCATGCATGGACCCGTAGTTTTAGTCATTCTTTCTTATGTTTAGACTGACATAGTGGACCACAACTTTGCTGTTGAGTGGATGCAAGACTTTGAGGTTTTTGAGGAAGCTCTAGCACAGGACACATCATACATGTCAAGTTTAACAAGATCCATGAGTCTGGTATTAGATGAATTTTACCAAAACCTTCGAACAGTGGGCGTGTCTTCAGTGACAGGAGCTGGTATGGATGAGTTTAAAAAGGCCGTGGATGATGCTGTGGTTGAGTTTGAAACTCAATACAAGCCAGGTAAAAAGGGTCTTTAAAACTTAAGAGCAAATATCAACATCCACTTTCTGCACACTCTTTTGCATTCAGTTTTTATGGTACAGTGTACTGCCAGAAGAACTCCTTTCTCATATCTAGGTCTTTCAGGCATCCTTGACGATTATTTCATTTCCATGGCTATAGATTAATGATTAAAATCTAGTGAAATAAGGTTTCTGAAGAATGCATAAAAGCTCTGTTGTAGCCAAACAGAAAGTATCATCCTGAGATTGGTGTGCAGTTTTAAACCGGTTGCTTTATATATTGCACAAGAGTTTTTAAGTGAGTTTTTCAAAGCCCTGTTAGCTCTGATTCTGTTTAAACTGAGAAAAAGCAAACAAACAAACAAGAAGAGAATATGAGTTGTCATGTTTAGGTCCTGAGTTTGCAGTAATCGTTCTTAGAATAGACCATTTTACAGTTGTGATCCCAGCCTTTTAGTGAACGTGGGGCTGTGGTTGACCTTGTTACAAACCTCTTTCCTTTTCTTATGAAAATTATGTTGAAAATATACCTGTTGGCATAAGAACGACATGATTTACATAATAAAGCAGGAAGGGTTGTATCAAAACAACGTCAACTCCAGCCTCGTTTCCACCTGTAATAGTTGATTGATTAGAATAACTCAGTCCTGATTCTCCCATCTCGCTAGCAACTATTACTAACACCATATTACATACATTGATTAATTCTGTACATTAATTACTTCCCTTTTTAGTCTGTTCCAGGCGTTCAAACTGTGGGGATGGTGCAAAGATACCGTACAATTCCGAAAATAGGCCCCGGGGCTCATATTTTTCAAAGGCCCTTTTTGAGGGGCTTATTTTTTTTGAGGGACTTATATTCGGAGGGGCTTATCTACGGAGAGAAATTTGCGTTTCAAAATCGATTGGGCTAGCCTTGGGGGTTGGAAGTATGTTTACTGTATTTGCTTTGTTTTACTTTGTATTTGAGGGCTATTTTCCAAGTACAAGCCCCCAGGGGGAGGCCCGAGGGGGGCTTATATTTGGACGTGGGTTTTTTGCATTACCGGTTTAGGGGGCTTATATTTGGAGGGGCTTATACATGGAGGGGCTTTTTTTCGGAATTTTACGGTATGTGACGTGAGGAGGAGAAACAGCGAGGGGGGTGGGTGGTGTAGGGAGTGAATGAGTGAGTTCCCTCCTCTCTCCCTCTCTCTTTCTCTTCCTTCTTATTTTTTCCTACTCTCTTCTTTCTCGCCACACTCCACTATCTGAATGCCTAGAAAAAGGCCATTCTCCCTTTGACCTACGTCCCTGTTATGAAATTCTGGTGTATCATTAATCTTCATCAGAATATGAAAGACTGAAAAAAGACAAAGAAGAAAAAGCAAGAAAAGAAAAGGAGGATCAGCTGAAGAAAGTAAAACAGGATCTAGGTGCTGGCAAACCTGTTGCGATGGAAACAAACCCAATTGGTGCCCAGGCGCTTGCATCCATGCATGCGACTCCATTCCACATCTCCCTAGGGGCGGACTTAGACAGTGATGATGACGAAGGGAATGGGGAGGAATTTGATGAAGAAGAAATGAAAGAACATGATTCATTCAAGAGATATTTGGAAAAAGAGAAACTAAAGAAACAAGCTGGAACAAACCAAGAATAATGTACATATAGAAAAGAACATTACGAGCTAGCAATCTCTACCTCGACAGCGCCCTTGTTTACAAATTCTGTGAGGTTGTGAGGGACAGGTGATTTTAGCGTGCGGACAAGCATTCCGGGGCGCTCTCTCCATTTCCTGCCCCGCCGCCAGAGCGCCCTGGAGAGCTTGCTCACAGGCTAGGTGATTTGTCTTGTCAAGACGGAGCTCGCCCAAGCGAATTACGGTCGTTTCACCCAGACTTAAGTCGATTTGCCCATGAACGTAGAACACTCTACGAGTCGATGGTATTTTAATCAAGCTTGGATTTCACATTAGCCTGCGTGCAGACGATAACTAAACTCTGATTAGTACCGTCTGCGAAGCAGCGCAGAGATCCTTGTTCTGGACCCCCAACGGACTCAACGAATTACCGGAAGTAATTTTCAACCTGATTGGCGATCACGACAAACAAAACAAAGGCCTTTTTTAACTGGCCAATCGTGGCGCGTACTCAAATCTGGGTACACAGCTGGAAGTCCAGAACAAAGATTTCGGCGCTGTTTCGCAGACGGAGTTAACCAGAGTTTAATTTCGTCTGCGCGCAGACTAATTTCACATGGGCAGTCCCTATCTTTACGTTTGTTCCTTGTTTCAGGCTTAAAGAACGAAAAAAAAAAGTGAATCGACTTAAGTCCAGGCAACACTACGGACAGATACGTTGTTTCCCGCTTTCTCCTCAAACAGGTATTTGTACATGACATGCAGCTTTTTATGCAAAACATACACACACTACTATAGACAACGGTCAACTCGTTGTATTTCCGGGTGCAGGAAAATCTTAACACTTGCTATGCCAACTCTCTTGGTTTCATAGTGTTAAAGGGATTTTCCTGGATATTAGTATTCGTTGTAGATGGAATGTGGAGAAATTGCGTTTAAGCTTCACCGTTTGACTATTAAACTTGTGATATAAACTTGCTATGTATTTGATATAGACTCGAATAAACGCAGTGAAAAACTCCTCTTGAGCGTCCTTTGTTGTACTTGAAAAATAAAAAAATGCCATTTGACTATTTCCTACCGCTCTGTAAATAAGATTCGTGGTTTCGCGGTCATCTCGCCACCAAATTATAGCGCCACCGAACGAATCGTCGATTAAGATCAGCAGATCGATTGGTGTTTGACATGGCGAGATTGTTCGGTGGCGAGATAACCGTACGTAAACCTAAGAGGTTGATTGCCATTGCGAATAAGCGCCGCCCTTGAGGCGTGAAAAATTTTAACAAGTGCTGCGGCGCTAATTCCAGTAAATACTCTTACGGTCTCTTGGACCCAGTCTCCCTCGGTTTGAAATAAGGCAATAACTATTCTCAAATTGACCAAATTTATAACAATCATTAAAGAAAATAATTAATAAATCAATTTTCAGTAACTTTATTACATTATCAAAACGTATTTTAAACGGGATAAAGGTGAAAGGATAAAAATGCATGGTTAAGGCATCTGCATTGGCAAATTTTGCATATTTTTGCATCGTTTGATTTTGGCATCTCATTAGGCAAATAATCTTGGTAACCTTGGTGACCACATTCGATCGACATGCATTAGAACACCAACATGGCGACGATGGCAATTTTCAGAGCAGAAACAACGGCGTCTGTAGCCTCAAGCTTTGAACAGCTTCACCCAAAAGTGAAACAAAAGCAGAAAGATAAGGCCAAAGAAACTTCTGATCCGCTTAAAGTCTTGGATCCTGCGAGGAAAAAGCTCACATCGGTGGAAGCACAACGAGTAATAGCTGTGGTCGATGATTCTATCAAAAGATTGGAATTAGTTTCGCTCCTTCCTTACATCATTGAAAACTTGAACCGGTTCTCTGTTATCCTTGGATCTGACCTAGTTCAAGTCCTAGAAGAGCATGATCGACTACAATCCTCCTATCAGAGAGCGATTTCCAAGTTTACTCTTGATCAAAGACGTAGCCAGTCTGCCTCTCCTACTCCATCGCACGTTTCATCGCGGAGATCAAGCGAGGCCTCGCAAGCTACTCTGGAAAATGAAGACGTCCTTGCTCTTCGGGAAAGTAGGCAAAGTTCTGCTGGGAGCAAGCAATCGATGTCCTTAAAACAAGGTCGTTTAAGCCCTTTAGAACAAGCAGGCAATCAAGACGAAACTTTGGATCTGAAGATGGTCCAAGCTCTAAGCGCACAGATGAAACATTCTGTCAGGACAATCATGAGATTGTTTGCTTCTAATCCAGCTGCTGTGAATTCACTGAAAGACTTGAGAAACGAAAGGTCGATGGAAGTTAATGGGATGATCGATGAAATAACCACATTGAGAGCGATTTTGTTCGAGAAACTCTTGACAACACCAAGCGAGGAAAAGGAGAGAAAACAGTATTTAAAGCAGATTGTTGCTAGGGAAATGAAATCCAGCGAAAGTGGGCGCAAACTTCAAGAGGAGCTGAAAAGAGCCATAGATGACAAAGAAAATGAGGTAAAATGTTGGCGTTCATTTACTTCCCTCAAATGTTGGCATCCTCATAAAACAGGACCAGGGTTGGGTGGGTAGAGGTTTCCTGAGGGGGCCTTCAAATCCACACCCTGTGTTAGACCCTGTTATAGGACAAGAGGCCTTATTTCACTAGACTGCTTGCAGTCTGCCTTTTCTCTAAAAATCCATCCTGTCCTTATCCCACCCAGCATGATAATTTGCAAAAAAATGACATTACAATAAGGGATTAGGAAGTGATGAGAAAGGACGGACTGCGGACTCTTTTGTAGTAAATACACCCCCCGTCATTCCAGAAATGGAGTAGCTGATTGGTCAATTTTGCAGCTATCGATGGTCTGTGGTAGGAGATAGCAGGTGATAAAAATAGTCATGCATCACAACTAACTTATTACGAAAAATAATGAACCAAGCTGTTATCACGTATAAGCTAAAAGGTATGAGGATGTCTTCCTTAATAAAAAAAAAGAAGGTAACTGCTGTAAATTTTCTAAATGGAAGGAAAGTCATAGCCTGCGAAAACAGCCGTTTCTCCTCGCTCCTCAGGACTTTTCGCATGGAGGAACGTCTACGATTCAGCGACAGAAATTCCAAACTGATGATGTAAATCATGTTTATTTTATATCCGGTAGTCATGGGGTTCCACATCCAAATTTGTTCAATTTTGCATTTCTCCTGGTTGATTTTACTAAAGTGTTGTGTTCATCTGCAAACAAGCCCCAGAAAAACTCAACTGCCTCTTCTAGAGAAGAATATATTCCACCAGTTTTGACTGTTTTGTTACAGATTTATTGCGTTTACAGTTTACCTTCGTGGCTTTTTGTCTTTTGTCTGTCATTCACAAACAGTAGCTAAAACAATGTAACTACTCCGTTGAGTCATCAGCGCTTCTGACTGGATTCCAGACAGATTTTACACCTTCAGTATTGAAATTCTGTCACTGAGTCGCAGATGTTATTCTGCGTGATTTGTCCTCAGCGTCAAAGAGCAAGGAGAAACAGCTGTTTTCGTAGGCTAGGAAAGTCATGGCTATCTTATAGGATTAAAAAAAAGTGTAATTTTTCACTTTTTATGATTAAATCGGCTCAGATAACTCAGGTTTAATTGGTTGATAAAATTACCTTCACTGACTGTTTTGTTGTCCCCAGACAGAGCAAAAGAGTCCACAATCTCTCATTTTTTCTTCTCAGGCTTATTCCCTCCTTCACTGCGGCTCACAGCTTCACTGCTCGCCGCTCCCCTGCATGGGTTAGGTGTGGAGAGTAGCCTTGCAACGAAAAATAAGAGACTGCTCACAGTCAACTCACAGTCAATTATTTCATGACCCTGATTTATTTTGTTTTCCATACAAAAGTATCCAATTCGCCTTTTGGAATGCTCACTTAATTTCTAAAGTGTTTAATTTGTAGATTTCCAAAAGAAATGACATCATTCGCAGACTAAAGAATGACATATATGTTGTTGAGAAGAATGCAGAGGAACAAAGTCGCAGAATCATCACAGATGCTGCCAAACAGGACGCAGCAGAAATGAAAAACTCAGATAGCAAGAAATCTAAACTTCAACAGGAAATTATTGAACTGAAAAAGAAACTTGAGGGTGACACAGTAGGTCACAGGGAAAGTGAACTGGCCTTGAGAAAAGTAGGTGTTTAATTACATTTGTAGTTAACCCCAATATCAACATTCATATTCTCCTCATGGTTCTTCATACATTTCTTATGATACTGCTTGAGAGAATTTGCTCAAATATCAGGAAATCTGTATGTTTCATTAGGCAATGTTATTATTTAGAGAAACTGGATGCTAGTCGCAGTATATTGAGGCTTAAAGGGTAAAATAAGTGTTTAAACATTTAACTTTAAAATGCAATGTACTCTATCAACCTCCAATTAATGACTCATTTTCAAGCGCATTTGAAAGGAGAATGCTTAGTAGAGGAAAACTGGTAGGTTAAGTATTCTTGTTAGGGAGCTTTTAAGCGTAAAAGCAACCAAGACAACGACGACAGCAAAATGTTCAAAAATAAATTGGTTCTATGAGCAAAACAACAGCTCTGCAAGAGCATCACGCTTTTTAGTACATTTCCCTGACGTCCACTTCACGAGACAGTACGACGTCAAACCTCCTAATACGAAGTTTTTAGGAGGACGTGAACGTAGGAAGAGGAATTTTCCTTTCTCTTTTTGAAACCGGATAAAGTCTTTAAGAATTCAACACCAGGAGAAAATCGCCTGGACAAAATGAAATGGTGAACATATAGACGCGATAAAGTTTGAAAAAAAACGCAGATTCATTTTTTAGGGATTTTTCTCTTCAGTCGTAGTCGTCGTTACTTAAGCTCCCTCCCCGGGGGGGGGACTTTAGGAATTTCTGGGTGGGGATGTGCCGCTGGGACCCTGGAACCCTTAACCTATACTAGAGCTAGTTCAGCTGAATTTTGCTACCCTATACTGGAGTAAACTCCCCAAATCCCCCCTATCCTAGAGTAGCTGTTTCCCTAGTCTAGTTTCCTGAAAAATCATACCCTATTCTAGACCCAAACGCTCTGATTTATAGACCCTATCCTAGAGTAAACTGCTTGAAAACCATACCCTTCACAGCGGCACATACCTATATAGCCCATATATGGTAGTGCCCCCCCGGCTCATATTTGGCGGACTAGGAAAAGGATTAGAAGACTTCATGACATGCAATCGTTATTCGAAGTGCCCTACTACAAACGTTTGCAGGGCTTTGAAAAGTCCTTGAAGAAACTCTGGTTCTGAAGTCCTTGAAACTCATAACAAATTACAAATCGCTTTCAAAAGTCCTGGAATTTTTCTCAACAGTCTAATAAACCTCCTTGAAAATAAGACATCAGAACAGCCTTTTATAGGAAAAACGGATTACACTCATAGATGTGCAATGGTTTCCCAGTGTGGGTGAATTAATGCAAATACGTTGTAGGATCGCAATCTGAACATTTTCCCAGATTTTCTATCGGAAGTGTTTTTTTTTTCTTTCTTTTATTTTGCATTCTAAATAAAAATGACTAGCTTGGTGCCTTTTTTGCTACAATGAATCTCATCATCGTTCGTCCACTTTTTTATTGTAGCGCAAGTACAGGATAGAAACAGAAGTTGAGAACTGGATTCAGAAATATGACACAGATATGGGAGAAAGACAGGTACCTTACTCTCACAAAACATAACCGCCCGTGCGGATCCACGCCCCATGAACCGCTTGTGACGGATCAGTTAAGTCGGTCTTTCAAACCATTCTCAAATCAGCGCGATTCAGTCAAGGAGGACCGAGAAAAAGGCAAAAAATACATGTTTCGATCCGAAAATCCCCATGAAAGTCTTGTTTCACTATCCACTTACCCTTTCCTTCCGTCTAATCCTGGGATCCAACCTAAGAGCTTTTCCAAAAACGTTTCCCACTGGAATGAACATGTAGCCTGCTAAATACCCAGCAAAAGGGAAAAAAACAAGGCAACAAAAGCGTAAGAAAAGGGGAGGATAGCCTGCGTAGCATGACGGTTTTGGTCGGGCCGTCGGGCGTACATACGAGCCAAGGAGGGCGAGGGCTTGCAAAACAACAACTTTGCACGTGCATCACGCTTTTTTGTACATTTATTTGCCGTTCCTGTACGACTACCACGTGAAATGACCAAATTTTAAGTTTTTTGAGGACGAGGACGGGAAACAGATAAATTTACCATTTCTGTCTGAACTTGGGCGCGGTCCCCTCTCTTCATCTCCAACCTAAATTCCCTTTTTTAAGTAACTGGGCGACTTGGGATGATCGCGAAAAAAAGTGACAGGATGCGAAGCCTATTTTTCAGGGACGTTTTCACGGACGTCGCCGTTGTCGGATCGTAAGGTCTTTTCCGGTGAACTTATGCAACAGGACGACGGATGAAAGAAGACGACAAACCTTGTGTGACAAGCGTGACAAAACTTTTGTTGGAAACAACTTTTCGCCAAACTTCATTTTCCTTTAAACAGATCTATTTGTAAAGAACCAGAGTATATTGTCCTCTTCTTCAAGCCTTCCTGTTGCGTAAAGTCACTTTTAAGTCCCAATGGTTCCTGTAAACGAACCAATAACTGGGAGCTGCACTGTTTTCGTTGTTTGCAGGATGAATTCGACGCCCTAGACGCCATTTACACTGAAGAAAAGAGACAACTTAGTGAACTAGAAGAGCGATTCAAGACGCTGGAAAAGGAATATTTAGAGATCATGGAGGCAAGAAGGATAGCTAAAGAGAAAGCAGAGGCAGCCGAGAGAGAACTGAATCTTAAAATACGTGCGGCGAGGTTGATTCAGTCGCTTTGGCGAGCGCATAAGGCCAGAAAAGCGCTCAAGAGTAAAAAGAAAAAGGGAAAAGGAAAGAAGGGAAAGAAAAGTGGTGGAAAGAAGAAAAAGAGGTAGTTTGGATTTTGTTGCAACGATGTGCCTTAATGGGAACCAGTGCGCAACAATCCAAGCGATAATCAATCAAACGTGGCAACAAAAATGCCCCTGCCTTCAGCTCATGAAATGAGTATATCCCGTAAACTTTTTCATTCCGACAAGCGCTCTAGCGGTCATTTCGCCCACGCGTCGGTTCGCAAACGTCCCGTACGGTACTGTCTAAAGTCGTTTCGATTACGAAACAATCCAGGCGCTCTACATATATATATACCTCCTTCTTTCAGCCCTGACACTAAAATGTCTGATACACATGTGTATACTTTGTTCTTTAATCCTTTGATCAGGCGAAAGAAGCTAGCGAACTGACCAAACTCGTTGGCGAACAGGGCGTTGGCGAAACGACTCGTACGAGAATTGATCTTTAATCGAAATTTTTCTTTCGGATGGTGTTGTACTAGGTTACGTCTCGTGTTTTTATCTCGCAATGGCGCAACAAAACCGTAAGACAAGTTACAAGAACAACTAGCCTGTCCATAGACTTCTTTTGTTCGACCATTCGACAGCGCGCGAGAGCGAGCAAGGAAGGAAGCCCCCCCCCCCCCCCCTTGTGCTTACGATGAATAAACCCCTCGCAGTTTTATTTTCATACGCGCGCTCGACGATCTCTGAAGAGAAAATAGATAGTCTGTGAACTGCTTATTACATATAACGGTGCGAATTAGGTTACTGTGTCCGCAACTTGTTTCCCAGGGGAAAATTAGTACTAGATACATGACAGTTGTACAGAAATATATTAATGTACTACAGTTAGTTATAGCAGTGTTGCAATTCTATCTTATACCTTACCTCTCTATAAATAGAAAGCACAGTGGCTTAATGTGGATTTCTAGGAAAGAGCTTAATCTGGTAGTGTTAAAATAGAATGGCAGATGTCTCTAGCTTGCCACGCAGACTATACCGAGGGGCGTAGCTATCTTTAGGGTGGATTTCCACGTCACGTAATTTTTACGTGTGTACACGCACGTAAATTTTACTCGCGCAAATAAAACGGAGACAAGGTGTGAAGTGTTGTGCGTAAACGTGAAGTTGATTGAGGTTCAACTTTTACTTTTACGCGCGATCTTTCAAATTTTGCCTCTCTTAGTTGCGAACGTAAGTTTTACCGACGCACGTACGTACGTACGTCGTATGGCGTATGGTGGATTTGGCAGCCTGTGGAAAATTTCCAGCTATGTCCCTGAATCCGGTCGTCTTAAAGTTTTTCACTTAGTGTAAACAGTATGTGGGTGTGCTATTGCACCATTTCTCTGATCGTGAACTAAACACAGTGACGTCATCAGAGTGCAAAGTCAAAAAAGCGAGGTTGTACGAATTCTTATCTACACTAGGTTGAAGAACAATAGAAAATAAATCTTTGTACAAGTTTCCAGCCCCGAAGCTTGTTTCATTTCGAAAATACACCATTTTGAACTTCCGAGTTTTCAGAGTGCGTGACACGAAAATAGGAATGCTGTCTCATTGAAAGAAGCCATTCCTCTTGATTTTCAGCAGTTTAACCATTTCAGGTATTAAAAGATGTGTTTTCTGCACACGTATGCTAGCACTCGAGTGAAAAGGAAGAGCTTTTATAGAAAAAGTGAACTCCAGATGTTTTTGTTGATTTCCAGCGGCCAAACTGTCCACCGATATGGCGTCTCCATACAAAGCTCTACAAAGGTGCGTGAAATGTTTCGGCAAATGACTCAGAAACTGTGGGCCACAAAGACCTGAGATTTGGAAAAATTGTTTATATCAGTAGTAGTCTTTTATAACATTTCATTTTCTTGGCTGGACAGTTTCCAATTTATTTTTTTGTGCCGTGTTTATCGCGTGACAGGGAAAATGAAGAATTGTCGGTTCTCACATGACGTCACTAAAATTCAAACTACAAAACTATCAATTCTACCGAGATTTTACTTTCACGATGTATAGGAGCAGCTGAAAACTAATTTTCAGACAAATTTTCCCTTCAAAAGGTTTCTTGGTTTTGTGATAGAGTACGCTTGAATTTCTAAGTTTTTGCGTGACACGGCATTTACATGACGGCCAAGAGAGCTGTCATGTAGACTTATTTCAGGGAATTTTGCTATCTAAACAGTTCATGTATCAGAAAAAGTATTACTTTAATGTTTATGAGTACCTCGAAGAATAAATTCACGCTTTTGTAGCAAAACTCGGTAACAGTTGTTTCCATTGGTTTCCGTCCGCCATGTTGGTGCCCATCCGGATGGGCAGCAGCATGACGTCTCCATACAAATCTCAATATAAATTTCAATATCTCGTTACGAAATATTCCGGGGGGTAAAACATTTCTTACTAGATATCAGCTGAATTTTGCTATACAAATATTCCTCTGTTTACCTGAATCTTGAAAAATGATACCCTATTCTACACCCAAACGCTCTGATTTATATACCCTATCCTAGAGTAAACTGCTTGAAAACCATATTTCACAGCGGCACATTCATATATGGCAGTTCCCCAAATCTTCCCTGATTCTGGACTTAAACTGGACTTAAAACGCTTTTGATTTTTATTAATTGATCTATTTTGAATGGCTTGACACTGTTGCAGCTTGAAAAGAGGAATTAATATGAGAACAAACACGTTTGTGCAAAAAGTGTATGCCCCAAAATTACAAATCTGTATTATAAGACTCCAAAACAAATAATAAAGGGGAAAAAATCTCTTACTTCACTGTTTTCTCTTCCCGCGCCCAGATAGCCCTCGTGGCCGGGTCCACCACCGCGGTCAAACGTCTTTTATTTTTGGCTGGAAAACCATAACTATCTTTCCATTTTTCTCAAAATTTTGAGCTTTTTTCGCTGAAAACCTTCGGGGACATGTTTGAAAATGGTAATAACGTCAGCATCGGTTTTCAATCACAAAACTTTTTAGCTTTCAAAAGTTTAGTAAACTAACAGGATGTTGGTAATACCCTAAACACAAGAAATTTCAACCGCTGTGAAGGCCGGCTCCTCCTTTTTAGTTAAACCCCTGTTGGTTGCCCAGGCTTAGTGTTTTACAGTGTTTGTATCGGGTAAAGTTTCAATGCTAAAATTTGTAACACGAAACAAGAAAGAATATTCTCTCTTGCACGAAATAAAAGTCAATGACACTTGCTTGTTTGCTTACCATTAGATTTGAATTTTGACACGCAGGTTACCTCATTACTCTTATAGCAGTTATGACATGACTAGTCATGGGCTCCTGCAGATTCTCGGTTTGAACTGTCACGCAATGAAAAATGAAAATGCAAACCATTCAATACAGAAGGACTAGAATCTGGGAAATGAAAAAAGATAAATATACAAAAACCCTTGCCAAGAATCAGGTCTGTGAAATATTTCAAATGCGAGATACTGCGAAAAATGGTTTACCTAAATTTATAAATTTATAAACGCCATGTTGGTGTCCCTTTCAGGAACACCAATATGGCCGCCGGATACCAACAGAAACATCTGTTTTCGAGTTTTCCTACTAATGCGTGAATTCTTCGCTTGAGGAACTCATAAAGATTACAGTAATATTTATTCTGAGACAAGGAATGTTTAGATTGCAAAATCTCCCAAAAGCTTTCCCGGCCGCCAGCTAAATGCCGCGTCACGCAAAAGCCTGGAAATTCAAGCGTCCTCTCTCGCAAAACGAAGAACCCTTTCGAACCAAAACTTTGTTTATGTAAAGGTGTTTAGGTACTGTAATACCTCGTGAAAGTAGAAACTCAGAAGAATCGATAGTTTCTTAGTTTGATTTTTAGTGACGTCACGTACAACTCAAGCTCCAAGCTCCTGCTTATAGTCACTTGTAAGAACCCGAATGAGAAAGGCACTGTCGTCCTAAAAACTGGCAATTTTTATTCCTCACTTGAAAATCATCCTTGCTTCTATTCGTTTTCTGTAAATTCTTTAACTAATAATAGCTGGTTAGATATTGAGTTCCGGGCCGAACGGTTCCCTCCACGCGTGCTATACACGTATCGCGCGCTTCGCGCGCAGGAACCGATAGATCAAAGGGCAAAACAACTTTTTTAAATTGTAGCTGTGTATTTTCTTTTACTGCCAATCATTTCCATGACATGTGGAGCCAGATTAAAGAAAGCCTCTGGCATATTTAAACAACAGTCTATAAATAAAGTCAAAGGTTTTTTAAAGCGACAAGGGGGGTAAAAATTAAATACACAAGTACTAAGGAAGTTTTTTTTTTCGTCATTGCAAGCTTTCACAGTCTTTGACCTTGGAATTCACTTTGGAAGGCATATTCCCATGCTAAAAGAAAACACATTATTAACATAACAAAAGAACCGCCCGATTGTCAGTACAGGCACATTCAAGGAAAAAAAAGAATTCTCCTTATTTAAAATTGCCCAATTTACTATTCCACGAGGGATAGTGTGTTTAACAAAACTCCATATCAGGTTGGTAAGTGATTTTTCGGCCAATCGGAAATAGAGATGTTTTCGTTGATGACGTGCTTTCTTCCCGTCCCGTATGTATTGATCTTCGATCTGGCCCAGACTTTAAGATGTAAATAAACAGTGTTTCACGGAGTGAGCATTCTTATGCAGATTGTTATGACTGTTAAAAGTGGCAATGCGTGAATTTGCCTAACCAATCATCGATCCAAATGTACATGGTTGCCGCAGGATTATTCAACCATGTCGACTGTCATAACACATACTTCATAGGATGACACAAGGATTTAAGTCCTTTCTCGTTCCAGTAGCTACGTTGTAAGGAAGAAAGGAAGAAAGATAATTCCAGCTAATTATTTTCAACTTCTTATCAACTTTGCAATAACTTCAAAATCAAGGTGGAAGATCACACTCAATTCACGAGTTGTATAAACTGCTGTCAAGTTCTGAGCAGAGTGAAACGTGCATGTATGGATGTAGAATTAGAGGCCGTTGGCTCTCAGCCTAAGGAGGAGAAAGGGTCAAGACAGAGAAATGGCAGAGCAATTTCAAGAAAAATGAAGCGGCAACGACTTATGGACAAAAACGGGCGAATTCATGTCAACTATGTGAACGTTCCAAATCGCAGTCAGCTTTACTACTTGCATGACCATTTTACTACAATGATCGACGCTCAATGGAGATACGTTTTTCTAATTTTCTCGCTGTCCTTTTTGGTTAGCTGGTTAGTCTTCGGGTCAATCTGGTGGGGCATCTACTATTACCGCTCTGAACACCACGACATAGAGTGTATAGAGAAAGTTGATTCTTGGACGGCCGCATTTCTGTTCTCGTTAGAAACGCAGACTACCATTGGTTATGGGGGCCGACAGATCACACCGGACTGTCCGGAAGGAGTCGTTTGCCTGTTAATTCAGTGCATTATTGGCTTGTTAATCTCTTCGACCATGTTAGGACTCATATTTGCTAAAGTTTCACGTCCGCACAAACGAAGTTCAACAATTGTTTTTTCACGCCATGCGGTGATAGCGGCACGCAACGGCAAGCTTTATTTGATGTTTCGCATAGCGGATTTACGAAAAAGGCAGCTCATCGAGTCACACGTTCGCGTTTTTCTCATTCGCCCTTATGTCACACAAGAGGGAGAAAACATCTGTTGCTTTAGGCAGCCGTTGCCCGTGAATTGCGATTTGGAGAGTGAGGATGAAGAGAGAGTCTTTCTCTTCTCCCCGGTAATTGTCTCACACGAGATCAACGAGGAGAGTCCTTTCTACGATTATTCGCCGAATGACTTGCTCTTCGCCGACTTTGAAATTGTCGTTCTTCTCGAAGGGATTGTCGAATCTACAGGAATGACTACGCAAGCGAGAACATCGTATTTGGGAGAGGAAATTCATTGGGGTCATTTGTTTGTGGACATGATGGGCAGTGTGTCAAACAACGGCTATTACAACATTGACGTTTCACGCCTCCACGACTCATTTCCCAGTCCTGTCGCATTGCCCAGAATAAGTCCACGAGAATTCCACGACTCGAGGCTTCGAGAAAATGGGAACGATAATTCCCACCAGCAGGAACTTATGGAAGAGATAAGCGATCGCGATATAACAGATGTGCCTCAGAGCAACTACGTTCGTAACGGGGTGACTTTAGTTCCAAACAGCGAAGTTGGCCAAGATGTCAACGTCAGTAAATTATGAGACAGTTGATTTGATGGCATTCTGAAACCGACTGACATTAGATAAATATTCACTCTAGCAAAAAATATTAACAAAACCCTAATGTTTTCATTCCTGGTTGTTAATGGTTTTTTGTACAAAAAAAAAAAGTATCAAACCAATTCAATAGTCTAACCTCACCCGCTCATCAAATGGCTGTTTTTTATTTCTGTTGTGATCACCAAACAATTAATTTCCTTTCATGCTGATAGCAGTTTATTTTAGTTTCTTTATTTATCAACGCTGTTCCCGTGTATGAAAATGACATTTGTTTTCCGGCTGTTTTTCAAGGAGGCACGTATGTTGTTAGTCCAACATTTTGGCCAAACCTAAGGAATATAGAACGTATGTGAAGGTTATTCACTAAATCAGTTTGAATAACTGTTGCTTAATTATTCCTTTAATACTGTCTTATCGCATTTCTGTTCAAATTCGTTCAGAAAGTGGATGTTAATATTACAGATGGGAATTATGTCTCCGTAACAAGTTTACAAGTTTATTCACAAATCCGCCTTCATATGTTCAAAGTTCAGGAAAGTTATTTAATATGTGCTGTAACAAATATTCAGTGATCATGAAATTATTTTGTCAAACAGACTGATGTGGTCGTCTTTTAATTAACTGGTCTTTAAGATTTTTAAACTTTCTTGTTTTCCAATAGCTTTTGATCATAGGAGCGTTGCAGCTAGCCAATATCACAGGTCGAGTATCTGTAGTTATCTATGAATGTGTGTTTACCAGAAAAAACATTCAGGACTCGTTTTATCAAAGGTGATATGGTGTCTGTCCAAATATAAAGCCACTTCTTACTCTTGTTGTAGTTAATGCTTTACTTTGTTTGTTTCTTCTCATTTTTAATCCCAAAACATTGCTAGATATATTAGATAATATTTTCGTGACGTTCCCAAACTTAAGTTAATAAACCACTTGTCTAATTATAAAGTTAAACAAGTTCTTTCGCCTCGGGCCACGATTTTGGATTCAGTTAGATACCGCTCTTTGTTTAGCAGCAAATATTAGTAACTACATGCAGTAGTAACGATTCGTCTGCCAGCGAAGTAAGGTTCGTATTTTCAAGAATTATTGATGAAAAGATCTCGTGATCTCCAGTGGAAATTAATGATAAAGTATACGTCAAGAAATTATACGTCACGCGATGTTTCACAAAGTTTGTTGAGCGGGAAAGACCGATATTTGGATTGTTGCGTAAAAACACTGACCCTATTTGAATTAAAATACACCGTTTATGCCTGATTGTGCCTCTTGCTCATCGCTGCGGTCAATTATTATTAAAATGCAGATTACGAAGTTTTGTATTCGACGGAGACTTAAATTTTACATAACATACATCGTCGTGGTATATAAATAAAAGATCCGACCGGTAAACGTTCATTTGCGCTCTATCTCTTTGTTGTTAATATTGGCACTGTATCAGTAGAATCCTGAACCACGATGATATTGAACAAATTTAACCGACTTAAACCGTTTTTCAGATTGGAAGTTTCTCCAAGGATCACTAAGCGAGGGAAGGTCTTTTTTAACATCTGCCGCCGGAGCTGACCTAAAACACTGATCTCGGGCTTATTGCTTTCTGACCATCGGTTTTTGATGAATAAAATTGAACTGGACTGTATATTGGAAGCAATGTTACGATTTCCGGTAACGTATTTAAATCACCTGGTTACAAGGAGACCGGGAAAAAAATATTCTCAAAAGATCATTAGTACAGGTACTGTTTTTTGCTAATTAGTGCCCGCTGAAAATCAGTTGCTACGCCACCAATAAACTTGGAACAAACATACAAAGAGACCGCTGCAATTCTAATATTTCTAAGAACTAATTACACCACTTCAGCTTTTTTAAAAGTTAACAAACATATCGCTAGTCAATTTATTCAGCTGGCAGATATCCATCTGTCTTTGACTTTCTTACGCTCTCAGGTTCTCCGCGCGAGTGCGCCTACCGAAGCGCGAGTGTCCATGCAGCCAGGTTGCTATGCATGCACTTCCACTCTCTTAAGAATTTATATTTACATTTTCCTTTAATTTCTTTCATCGTCCCAATTATTATTTTGTTTGCATGAATAAAAAATATCATATCAGGCTGAATTTATAGTGAGGAATAAAATGGCCCATATTTTGACTAGTCACCTTTAGAACCCAGACAAATACAATTAAGTAAATCCTATTTACACTGTAAAATCAGCTTGTTTCTTTCATAAGATTTATGTACTAGACCTCTTTGAAAAATTGGCACCCCTTTATGGTAGTAGACTGCAAAACAGTGCGTACTTTTGCTTATTCATGTACGCGCGAGCAGTCAAAGGTCTGGAACGAGCCTGAAAACAGAGAGCGAGACAGGGGAGAGACCAGCATGTGAGGCTCGCGCGACTCTTACGTCACGCTTTAGCGATTTCTTTACTGATTTTAAGAAAAAAAAACCGACTGTTTTGCAGTATATTACGCTAGTGCCAGCATTTGCCATTAAGTTGGTTAGTTTCCTACCTGATGTGGCCGAGAGAGAGAGAAAGGCCTTCTCTAAAATGTTTCGCTGTTCTTTACATGATATGTACTGTCAATCCGAAACGAAGTTCGCTTTCAGTTTACATGATACCACAATAAAATTTCACACCGATTTACCGAATTTCATTCCTATTCAAAACCGGAATGACTTGTGCGGCAAAGGAAATGTCGTTTCGGCATCAAGTAAACCCTAAATACATAGAGAAACATAATGAAGGAAGTTTCAGAATGAAAGTCATTCCAGTGTCTGATTATCAGGTGAATGGATTTATCATGTTGGATTCCACCATTGAATAACTTCATCATCATCATAAACATCATCATCGGTCGAGCGAAGAGCAGTCGACTGTAAAGCATCTCCAACTGGATCGGACTTGGGCAATGCCCACGATATCATTCTCTGAAAAATTCTTTTTGGAGTCGATCTCAGTATTCTTGGACTTGGTTGGAAAAGGACTTATGCGGTCTTCATGGTGGTCTTCTCCGGTGGAAGGGCTCACGCAACACGTAGATATTAGCGGGTTCATCGATCTCCATGCGCAAAATGTGGCGAAAGAGCTTGAGCTGACGTGAGATGACCGTAGATAGCAATTAGGCCTAGTGCCAGTGAGATCGTAGATTCGGTCATCGTAAGACTTTCTCGAAATGTTTGATGTTCAATATGATCCTATAACATGAGGTCGCAAAAGCATTTAGTTCAGTTGGCATCCACGTCTTTGGTGATTATCCATGCACGTTTTGCAGCCATACAGTAGAACTGAATAACACGCAAAGATAAAACTACCGTATTTATTCAATTAACCGCCCTGGGCGCTTATTAAATTTTTGGACCTTGAGAGTGGGCGTTTATTCGAGGTGGGCGATTATTTGAGGCAGGGCGGTTATTAAATTTTCACCATTTTCAGCAATTAGTGAAGTATTTTTATTGTGCAACAAAACAGTACATGCCAGTAACAAAACGCGAAGAAGTAACAAAGCAAGGTTTCTGTAAAATACTCGGAAGAACACTTCGTCTTCGGGGACGTCTCTTATTAGTACTTATTCAATATCAATTTCAATCTCATTATCGCTGAAGTAGGTGGGTTGGGGGTGGGCGCTAATTGAGTTTGAGTGGGACGGGGAGGGGGTGTGGTGGGCGCGCATTTTACCTTTTTCTGCCTTTAGGATGGGCGCTTATTCGAGGTGGGCGCTTATTCGAGGTTGGGCGCTTATTCGAATAAATACGGTACTTAGAGTGATAATGGATGATAAATTAAATTCTACAAGCCACTTGTGAGCAACATCCGTAAACAAAAAAAACAGTCATCTAATCACGTCATTTCGCGCCTATAGAACGGTTTCTACAAAAGCTAAAATTGCAACTGTTTATAAACCAGCCATACTGCCCACCTAACTTGCTGCCAAACAGCGCTGATGACACTTTTGCTACTCATCTGACTCATGTAAAGGCGAACGCGTACAGCAACGAGTTGCATGCAGTTTATTACAAACAAGGCTCATATGAAAAACTCTTAAATTTTTACACATTGCTAAGTAACTAACTCGTAAGAACTGTCGTGTCACAGGAATTAAGTGTAACATCTGTAAATTCTGTTTTCAAAATATATTCAAACAAGTAGCAATAATAATAATAATAATAATAATAATAACAATCTTTATACAGGGAGCTCACTTCACAAAGAGTGATATTCAGTGGGGCCCTATAAAACAATCGAAAAAATAAATGATCTTACATAAATGAATGCGTAATATTAATAAGTAAAAAGTTAAGAACTAAAAACCTAAATTATACAAGCAACAGGTTAAAAATGTTAAAATGTCAGATTAAAATATTAAAAGCTATAAAATATCCCAAAAAATAGCTTTTGATGTTCTGTTTAAAAAGAAGAAGAGAGTTAATTCCTTTAAAAGTGCGTCTAAAATGTTCCATTCCTTCGCGCACTGATAAAACGTCTCTGCTTTCCGTAATTCCTTTTAGAGAGAGGAAGACGGAAATCGGTTCTTCTTCTAGTGTTATAACTATGGATGTCTGAGTTTCTCAAAATATTAAAATTGTGATCTACAAGTACGTGGATGTACTTAAAAGTGTTAATGTATCTATGTACAAGGCGCTCTTGAAATAAAGTAGGCCATCCGAGTGTTTTGAGAGCGTCGGCAGATAAAGCATAGTTGGGCAAATCAAGGATAACTTTGGCAGCCTTATTTTGCAAGACCTGTAAATCATGCATTAATGTCATATTATCTCTGTCTCCCCAGATGGTATCAGCAAAGTCGAAGAGAGGTCTTCTTAAAGCATTGTATAGTAACAAATATAATCAATAAAGCATTGTATAATGCGACTCGCGCATCCAAAGGCAACAGATGTTTGATAGGATTTAACAAGCCAATTCTTTGAGTAGTAAGTTCATATATAAGAATTTTTCCAACTCTCTCTCCCAAATATATATTAACTTTGTTGTTGTATGGCAGCGGTGCACGTTCGTCATCCTTTGCATTGCGTTGCAAGTTGTTGGTGTTGACTTTCCATAAATGTGAATGTAGTTTGGTTAACTACTATAAGTTTCTAACAAGGGCTGCCTTAGTCCCAGTCTTGTCTGCTTTTTTTGTGTAGCCGGTATAGACTTGGTACTTGGTACATGTCCCAGGGGGGTACTCTACTAAGTTTTGTAAGGGGAGGCTTAGCCTGTTCCAGGCTCCGAGATAGTGGTGAAAAGTCGTTCAATAAAAAAGAAATGCGAAAAACGCGTAGGGGCTAGGGAGAGACAGGGCCATTTTTCCCGCCGTCACCGCCCCCTTTTCCAAGTCGCGCGCGTCTTATTTTCGCTTTACTCCTTTTAATACGCCCCCACTATTCTATCTGAGAGCCTGGAACAGGCTAGGGGAGGCTCTTCCCCAAGGTCCAACTCCTTACCCTTTTATATAACATTTTTGACAGTAAAGATACCCCTTTCACCTTCTTTTGACAAATGGTACCCCTTTGACATAACTAGTTTAGAACTTTGCATCACTTTTAGCTGTTGTAAATGCACTGTCTATAAATTAAAAAACAAATCACAACACCAGAATGTTTTCTTGAATTTCTCACAGCCATAAATTCCATCTGTTAGCCCTTTTGGGCCAGGTTTTCACTGACCAAAATGGCAGATTTTCTTATCCTTTCATATAATTCAACAAGTAAAATCCCCTAGCCTTTCCTGTACTTGAAGGCTGAAAAAGGTATCCCTTTCAGGCAGAACCTCCCCATATTGGCCATTATAGGGAGTACCCCTGCCCCCCCCTCCCCCTCCTCCCCCTTCCGGGTACATGTACTACAATAACTTACATAATGTGTATCAACATCAAAGCCATTTTAAGCTCTGCTAGTTTTCCACAAGTTGTTGCTGCCTATAATACTCCCTTGGAGAACAATTCGGCATTTCCACAACATGAACTTCATCCAGCCTGGAGAAATCAACATTATAGAAACCATCTGTACTGAAGTAAGATTTCTCCAGCATATTGAAAAAGTCATAACCCCACAAAATTTCACTGTTCAAGTAGGAAGTTCTTGGTTGAGTGTTGAGTCCCGTGTGCTCAACCACACCATCAAGAATAGCAACAAGTTCAAATTCTCTCTCTTGTAAACGTTCTGGTGTTAAGTCATAGAAGGGGCTCTTCTCATCAATGACATGAATAATCACCACTGGAAGCATAAAAAACAGCCTATTCCTGAAGTCATTGTCTGGGTCATTCCAGTCATAACAAATTTTGAGATCCTCCTGGTGAAAGCTGATTTCTTTACCTTCCTTGGTGGTACATGGCCGGAACAACTGCAGTCGCATATAGAGATCAACTATCTGGCTCTTTCTTATGTCTCCAACTCTGAACATAAGACACATTTTTCCATCCCTAGGAGCAATTACTGCATATTTTGAAAACATGACCGTTTTCATGCGCTCTCGTGGTCTTGATAACTTTGCAAATGTCAAGCCAAGCATAAAAGCATCTATTAGCAACCCCACAAGTGACTGCAGCTGCAAAATGATAATCGCCTCAGGACACTTTGTTGTTATTGACTTCTCACCATATCCAATGGTTTCTTGAGTTTCGAGAGAAAACAAGAATGCTGCTGTCCAGTTGTCAACCTGTTAAAAAAAAAGAAACTTAAAAAGCTATGTTTAAACCAGTGATATAAACTGTCCTCTACTGTTGTCCTCTACTTTGCAAGAGCAGTCGCAGAAGACTGGGGTACAAGTAGATTAGAACCTTGGATAGACATGGTGAATTTTATATACTAGTCTGGTTCAAATGCTCTTTTTGCATATGACTGAAAAGCTGCTGTCAGTGTTAACTTTGGATACTCATAAGTTATAAGCAACATTGGATTGAAGATGCCTTTGAAATATTAATTTAAATATTTTCAGCTTGTCCTTAAGATAAGCATTGCTCAAATTTTACTTGCCCATGCAGGTCTATTGCATCCTTGTCTACTTTTATGATTGTTTAGAAGATGATCTTCCTAGGCTACTACTCATTGACAAGAGAGCATGAAATGTTACTTTACCCAACAGGAAAATCTACATGTACAGGATGACCCAACAGGACTTTGTTTTGAGATCAGAATAGAGAGTAAGAGAAGGTAGGAATTTATATTAGTGACTGCACACATGCACCAAAATGGCATCTCTATGTGAAAGAGTACACAATATGATATTTATAGCCCCAGGGCAGAATGCTTACTGCGGCATAAAATAATACCCATCAAACTTTGTTGCCCATACCCATATAAACAACTCTCAAAGGAAAAAACATAATTGGTAGAAAACCAGTCTAGAAATCCATTGCATATAAGATTTGTGTGACCATATTTGGCTGAGCACATGTAAAACTTCCAAGTTTCAATGTACCCTTCATGAGATGGAGATTAAACAAGGTAAGTTGCAAAGGGACGTGTCATTTGGTGTTTAAAAACTAAAATCCACTCCACACTTTCACATACTTACCATGTATTCCAAGTTCCCTTCTGGACTGTAAGCACTCCTTCTTTTTTCTTAGTCTTATGAGTGAACATCTCACTTTAAGCCACTGGCTGACACTGTTCACATGTTATGTGTGCCGACCCACTAGTTAAGTTGCTACCCTTTTGTTATGCACCAATCAATTCAAAACTTCAGCACCCCCTCTCCCAACCAGCCCACCCACAGTCTGGGTCTTACAACTTGGTTAGAAAGATGCGACCTTTCTCAAATAATTGAGACAGAGGACTTTAAAGGTAAAGAACACCTAAAAAATGAATTACTTCTTTGGCAGGCACTTTAAAGGCTAAGAGTTTAATTTTTGTCGTTCAATACCCTATCAACGTCTTGTGGATTCACTAAAATCTATTCTTCGAATTCACAATCTGCAAAACATTTCTTCTTTACGATGTCAATTTTACCATTTTAATACATAAAGAGCTAATTAATATAACAGGAATTTGAATAGGCCTGTTTTAAAAAGTTCATATGTCATGGGGTTTATGTTGAAGTTTCAAATTGATTGGCGCATTATATTTTCCTTAGACAAGCCTCAGATGAGCTGTATCATTCCTTGCCTCTGGGGTGAGAAATAGGTGTTTTCAGGGCTCTTCCTCATACTTTTAAAAGAAAGTTTATTAACTAGGGGTTCTACTATACCCATATGTCACTATTCCTAATGTATTAAACAGACCTTGGAAACACAAACTGAAGAGCCTCTCAGTATCGCTAGAAGCCACCAAATGAATCCAAATATTGTCCAGGAAATTATATAAGATGACGCAAATATGAGCATAACCCACTTCCAGCGCAGATCAATCATAGTCGTAAATATATCCGCCAAGTATCGACGGGTTTTACCAGGAACATTTTTCGCCAGAACTTTTAGCTCGCCGTTTTTCTTGACTAAACGACGTTCGCTGAAGCCCCTTATAGATATTTTAGTTTTGTTTTCACCTCGAAATGTCGATGAATCTATCAGTGATGCAGGTCCAGTTTCTTTCGCAACAAGAAGTGTTGTTCCATCGTTTGTAACCGACGTTGAGCTTTCCATTCCTGCCACAAAATGCTCGTTATCTGCGGTCTTTGAGTCCACAAGATGTTCACGGGAATAAGAAGCGTTCATTTTGGGGGATAAAAACATCTCAAGTAAACGACAGCGATGAGACTGGACTCTACTGGAGCGTATTAGAGTTGCGTGACAGGCGTGACCATCACGATCTGCACTCTTATGTTACGTTTGTACCAATAATGAGAACAGTTATTTTCGCTGTAGACATTTTTCAGCCTGCCAGCAATCCCTTACATTAATGTTTTTGTCTTGAATAGCAGTTAATCTACCA